GTCGACTATTGACAAGTGTGGCTGAATTCCGATTCCTTCTTTGAATTACAAACAATTTGCATTCAACATTTATGTCACTCCACATTCATATTTATTAATGTCTTAAATAAAGATTTAAAGTGGGATAAGTGGCAATTTTATTATTTTATTAGTACATAGTCCAATAGTCTGACCTTGTCTTATTAATTGGATGGAGTTAAAATTCAATTGAATGAACATTGAACTTATTTTTTTAATCCCATTAGGCACTGTAAGTCAGTAAAGTACATTGATATTTAGGCAATCAGCGCATATTTAGACACTCCACACAATTTATTGTTTAAACACTTCACATGCCCACAATTGTGGGTGATAACTTTTTTTATATTTTAAATTAGTTGTTTTATATGCAATGAGGGTGCAATATTATTTTTACTCAATTATGCTTATTTTTACTCAATTATGTGTGGTGAATGGAATGGTTTGCAAGCATTATTTCTTAATGATTGTCCTTATACATATTATGTGCATTGCTTAGCTCACCGACTACAACTAGTATTAGTTGCCGCATCTAGAGAAGTAATCGATGTCCATCAATTCTTTTCAAACTTGAACTTCATTATCCATAACATCGAAGCTTTTTGCAAACGAACTGATGAATTACATTCTGCTCAAGTTATGAAAATTGCCCATTTGATATTGATGAGCTTGAAACCGGTCGAGGAGCTAATCAAATTGGTAACTTGCAACGACCTGGAGATACTCGTTGGAGCTCCCATTTTGATTCTGTTTGTAGTTTGATAAGGTTATTTGGTCCAACATGTTCAGTTCTTGAAAACATCATTGAAGATGGATGTAATTACAAGATCCGGGGAGATGCTGATACTGTTTTTAATACTCTTAGATCATTTCAGTTTGTCTTTATTTTGCATTTGATAAAAGATATCATGGGAATAACTAATATCCTTTGTTAAGCTTTACAACAAAAATCTCAAGACATCGTAAATGCTATGAAATTGGTTTCGAGTACAAAACAAATCATTCTGAAATTGAGAGAAAATGGTTGGAACAACTTACTTGATATTGTTAAATCATTTTGTGAGCGCCACAACATTGATGTGCCTGATTGAGTATTCCTTATACCAAAAAAATTAAGAGTCAATCACGTCACCCACAAGAGAATATATTACACTTGAGCACCACTATCAGATTGATATATTTTATAGCACAATTGATTCACAATTGCAAGAGTTGAATAACAGATTTAGTGAAAAGGCAATGAAACTTGTTATTCTCAGCTCAGCTTTAAATCCTAGAGATGGTTACAAGTTCTTTAACGTTGAAGACATTTGCACGCTTGTAGATGAGTTTTATCCTCAAGATTTCACGGAGCAAGAGAGGATTACTTTGACATTCCAATTGCAACATTATGAGGTTGAAATGCATGTTCATTCACATTTGAAAAATATGTCAACAATTTCTGAACTATGTAGAGGATTAGTGGAAATAGAGAAGTCAAAAATCTACTTTTTGATTGATAGGTTGATTCGTCTTGTCTTGACTCTTTCCATTTCCACGGTAATTATAGAAAGGGCATTTTCAACTATGAAACTGGTCAAACAACAATTGCGCAATAGGATGGAGGATGAGTTCCTTGCAGATTACTCAAGTGTCAGTATTGAAAAAGAAATTGCTCAAACTTTTAGTATATATTCAATTATAGATGATTTTTCTTCTTTAAAAGATTGTCGAGCTCAGCTTATGTAGTAGTTGTTTGGTCTTTCAAGTTTCTTTTTGTATTTATATATGTCATATTTGACTAGATATAGGCCAATTATTGTTTTGTAAACAAATTGGCCAAATTTTGGCAAGATATATTTTTGTATGCATCTAATCGATCATGAAATACTTTTGATTTAAAATATTATTATACTATATTGGTAAAATTGTTAATACTATGGGCCCCCCTTACATTGAATCCTGGCTCCGCCCCTAATCTGAGGTCTTGACGCCTTTGATTGCGGGTGGAGTCGACGGCAAAATATCAAGCTTGGAATTAAGTGGAGCTTTGACGTGGAGGAAGCGAACTACCAACCATCACCGTCTACAGCGTTAGGTGGAGCTCTAACGTTGCAAGCGACGCATTTTAGCACATCGAGGGTGCCTTCTGGGCCGGCCAGCATGAACTCTCTGCAGTCGTACATGGCGTGGCCGCCAAGTTCGACGGCGTAGTTCTTCAGGTACCCTCTGTACCTAAGTATCCTCGGTGGCGCGTTAGCTCCATCCGGTCTTGGCATATTTGGTCGGGACAAGTTACTAAGCAAGTCGTAACTTGATGGCAGTTCAATCTCCTCTTCTTCCTTCTAACTATGGTGAATTCGAAACTTGGGCGATTTTCGGAGTCTGTAAGAATGAAAAACATAAACTTTATTGACGACAATGGAGAATGTAGTTTGAGGAGTGATTTGGGTGGTGAGAGAATCTGTCAAGATTGCTGGGATGGTACAAATTTTGAGCAACATTCAAATTCGCTGATGAATAATCACACAGCTCCAGAGGCAAAACATGAATTAAATGTCAAGAAAAGTTTTTGTCACCTGGTACGTAGTGGTCCGGTTGAAGTTGTTGCTTATGAGAACAAGCGTTTGCAACCATGCTTTGACCCAACTGGAGTAGTCTTAAAAAACATTGATGAACCTGCAATCAGTTGTACCATTGTCAAATATGGTACCATTAGCTCTTTTACCCATCGATGGTTGTAGCTAACTTCTCAACAAAAACCTAATTTCGATATGTTTTTGGCCTCTAAAAAAGTTGCAGAGAAAGCAATTGAAGGAGATAATTATCTCCTTCAATTTATCTCCTTCAATTGCTTTCTCTGCAACTTTTTTAGAGGCCAAAAACATATCGAAATTAGGTTTTTGTTGAGAAGTTAGCTACAACCATCGATGGGTAAAAGAGCTAATGGTACCATATTTGACAATGGTACAACTGATATATATATATATATATATATATATATATAGTTTTAGGGATATTTTAGTCTTTTTATTTGATTTTTAAGCTAAGGAATTAATTTGACAAAGTTAAAAGGTATTTGAGTCATTTTATATTATGTCATAATTGTGCAAGTAACAGTTGGGGTGTGAGTGAAAAACAGAGTATAAATTTGTAATGTGTTTGATAATTATTTTCGAAAGATATTTTCATATGATATTTGACCAAACCTCAAAGGTTATCAGTGAAATTAATCCTTAATAAATATGCTAAATCAATGAATTTTTTTCAATTGAGATTATCCTAATCAAAAATGTTACTTCTTTACATAAATTTTCTTTTAACGTTGTTATTATTTTAACATTCGGCACTTGTATTTTATCAATCAAGAAAAAAGTTTTATTTTATTTATTATTATTTTTTTTGGGTTTATGAGCGCTTATATTATAGTCAGTGGGTCCCGTAGCCCGTCTGGTTTAGAGGTTCGCCTTTGGCCAGATATGCAAAGAAGTTTTCATGTGATTACGACCTTTTTTATTTTTATTTATGTGATTACGACTTTAGGAGGAGAGTTGACGTTGTGGTCCATGACGTTGATCACGGCACACTGACTTAAATTATTCTTATACATTGTTAAAATTACCTTCCAAGAAGGAAGATATTGGTAGTCACACGTTGTTATAATTGGGCGGACTCACTGTGACATGACCTTGGTAGTCACACGACGTTAAAATTCGAGTCCTAGAAGCCTATAAAATGTTACGTTTCAAGGACCCCACCACTGAAGCAATTTCTTCTACAAACATGCACCATGCTTGGTTTATAATTTTAGAAATAATTTTTTATTTTTAAAAAATTAAAAGTAAAAATTTGTATAAAATTTTTTACTTGATTTATTTTTTAAAAATTCAATTATAAAAACGTCTGTTTTCAAATAACTATCTTTTATAATTCTCTAAAAATAATTTTTTATTCTTTAAATCCTTAATAATTATTTTCAAAATTACAAACTTACCGAACCTTATAATTGTTTTAAAAAATCTATAACATCTTTATCATAACTCCAAATGAATTACTCCAGTAACTCAAACTCAACTAAATTAAAGTTTAACTCTAGCTCCTTTATTTATTATTTTTTTAACTCAACAATCAACTCAAGCTCCTTTACTTAACAAACTATTTAAACTAACTCATTTTATTTATTTATCATTTTTTTAAGCTTGTTCAAAACTCAACTAGTTAGGTTTGTGAAATACAACGTTGATTTTTATGACCATGATTGTTACTCTTCATTATAATTTATTTTAATTTATATTTAAAATTTATCGAACTTAATAATGAGTTTGAGATTGAGCTAAAACAAAAATTAAGAAAAATTACACTGAACTTCCTCTTAAAATGTTTAAATAACATGAATCTTTTTTATAGTTTCAAAAATAATAATGATCATGCAGTGAGTATTGTTAGCTTACTGAATGCGTGGAGTGACAATTATATCCATAATAGCAGTGTTATTTGGCCAATCCTAAAGGTGTTAAAAATATATATATATATATATATATATATACTACGTATATAAAAATAAATTATAAAAAAAAATCGTTTGTTCCTACAGTCTCAAACTCTCACACACCGAATTAAATGCATTTTTATTCAAATTGATTAACCACATTAGTGGAAAAAAAAAAAACCTCCGGAATAAATAAATAAACCACATTAGTGGTAATGCTATCAAATTAATGGTATTAATGGCATACGATGATGAACTGAAGTCATTCTTGTCTAATGGCTAGGAATCCTCCAATCAGCAGGTGAGTCCCACGGAACTTATTGTGGACGTGCCAATACTGAAAGGTTTTATTACAGGGAACCAAGGAAACGGAAGGCACATGAAACGTGGGTCGGTGGGAAGGAGGTTTAGGTTGCAGTCCCTGTCAGATGGCGTTGAATCAGCCGATATGGTTCAGAAAACACGCCAAATGTAAATTGCTAGTACACGTATATATATACATTCATTGTATGTATCTGTTTGTACGTATCTATCTCTATCTATTTTCCGTGTACTCGTTCCTCCTCCGAAAATATCGCCATATATATCACTTCAATCGTGGCTGATATCTGAACCCTCTATGCGATTCACTATCGTCCAGTCATCTCCAAATCCAATTCCTAATATACGGTGTTTCTTAAGATTCGATCAAAGTTGAATTGTTGTTGATGAATCGAAGAATTTTTGTTGAGATTTTCAGCTCTGGGAATTTGAAGCTTCAATTAACAACGTTTGATTCTGAATTTAGGCGTTGAAGATTGCTCGGAGCGTCTCTGGGTTTTTGCGAGATCAGGTGTTCATCGTATCACTCGTTTGATCTGATTATTATATCTCTGATTGATAAAAAGGGGTATTTTTTACGACTATTGATTTCGTTTCCGAATTCGATTGTCGGTTGGTTAGATCTTGTATCGATAGCTCTTATTTGATGTTTGGATTAATGGAATTTGAATCATTATGGTGAATTGAGATTTAGATTTCTGATCTAATTTTCGAATTGGTGTACAATTCTGAGTTCTTCAGTTGCTGTTCGATTGATTGGGTATTTATTTTGAGGGTTTTTGAGTTCTAACTCGTTAAATTTAATGAGACTACCAATGGTTGATTGTCGTAGCTTGATCGAGTTCTGTAGAGCTTTTGAACAGCATAAGAAAATGATCAATCCGTCTAATGCCTCTGATCTTAGAACCCACCATGTTCATTCTCGCCACAAAAAGAACAGTAATCCTTTGAACCCTTTAGCACACCCATTTTGTGATCTCTCACTGTTTGCTGCTGTGGATGTGATTATGCTGCTTTTGGTACTCGGAGCAGTGGGCTTTTTGACTGTTCCATACTTCAAACTAATCTTTCGTGAAGCCTTCGGAATTCTTCCAACAATTTGTGATATTGTTGCTGATGTAATTCGTAATGCGCCGCTTGCATATGTGGTTGGACTGGCTGTATCATTCACCGGACTTATTGCCACGATTGCTGCGTGGGAGATTTTTAGTATGAAATCAAGAAAATGTGGAAATCCTCACTGTAAGGCTCTGCGCAAAGCTGTAGAATTTGACATCCAGCTTGAGTCGGAAGAGTGTGTGAAGTACTTACCTCCGTTGCCAACAACTGATTATGGGCTGAAACCACTGGAACTAGGGGAGGATCACAAGGAGCTGGAGGCAGAGTTGAAAAGGATGGCACCGCTCAATGGTCGCACCGTTCTTATCTTTCGAGCACCATGTGGATGTCCTGCAGGTAGAATGGAGGTTTGGGGTCCTAAGAAAATCCGTAGAATCAAGAAATGAACTAGATTTTTATTGTTGTTGATCTTTTTCATCTTCCTTTACATGAATAAATTGTAAGGTGCTGAGGTTGCTCACGGCTACTTCTCTTGACTTGTGTAATAAGTGACCGACCAGTATGGTTTAGTAATAATCACATTTGAGGAGCAACCTTATATTGTAATACGTTTCGATATACTATGATATAAGATATTTCATATTATATTTAGCATATGGTAGTTGATCTATATGTTTCAAGGGTTGTGCATTTCAGTGTATTTTTATGACCATGTTTAGATGATTATATTATGTATTGATCATTTCATTCCTTATGGTTCACTGTTTGTTTAATATTCTCCATATGAACATTTCATGTGGGCTTCATGTCATGTGCATGGGCAGAACTTTAATCAGGAAGGAGTTTAATGTCATTAATTTTGTGGTTGGCATTTGTTTTGAGCATGACAACGCATTCAGTAATTGTTAACTATATTGGTTTTGGCTAACTCTCGTATGCATTTTCGGAAAGTGCTGAGTCAACCCATTTCTCTTTCCACATGGTAAACTATAACCAGCCCCTCCCTCAACCATGTTCTTAGCAGCTTTAGGTTGGCCTGCTTTATGAACAGGATGCATAGTTATAATCGAGTTGGGCACCTGATCATGCAGTGGGTTGCTTAACAGTTGTAGATTCGGGTGTCGTGATCCATCAATTTGGATTTTGCTGAAGTTATCTGGTAAGTTATCAATTTTTGCTGAAATATCACATTCTTTAGTTGAAATATGTTTATTGGCCTCTTGGATCTTTCATACTTTATCCATTAGATTGTTACCTTCTTGTTTGTAGTTATGTATAGAACTCTGACCTTTTTTCACCTGACTATAGGCATGTTATACCTATTGGCCTCTTGACAATGCATACTTTAGCAATCAGATGCTTTCTAGTTTCCGGATGTGTGTGTGTGTTCAACTGACTATGAAGAAAAAGATGTATCTGAGGAGATTCAGAATACTTATGGATCCTCGAAGCTTCTTGGCAAAGTACAAATTTTAAGATTATCCTTTTTTGCCCCTGCTATTTTGGTATTTAAGGTTATCCTTTGTGTAGTGTGGCTCTTTTCTCTATCCTGAATTAGTTGTCTTGATTTACTTGAAAAATAGTGAAACCTTCTGCTTCATGTAACCTTTAAACTTTTTTTTTTTCCTTTTCTTTCTTCTCTTGATTACTCTTGAAACCTTGACCTAGGACTTGGGAATTAAGACCCAAAGCCACTGGGACAGAGGTAGACCAGTACCTTTAAACTTCATAAAATATGTGAAGCTAACACATTTAGATGACCAATTTGGCAACGGTTGATTTAGTTTTTAGGCATCATGAATAGATGTTTAATTGAACATCTGTAAGAAAAGTTTGTCTTCAGGGGTTCAAGCCTCAAGGAAAAAAAGAATTTGAGTAACAATGTTGGAACTTTCTGCACGTGTAATGGGCTCTCTAACTTAAATGTTTCACATAATTCGTTTTGAGATTAGGGCAAATCTAATTTTGTCCACGGAAGCAGGTCGGATGATTTAACAGAAGTGTAAGCTATAAGTGGCTTAGTTTGAGTGGGTGCTAAAATGGAAAGTGTAGCTGGGTGATAGTGGTTAGAATTAGTTGAGGGGAGGTCAAATGGATAGAATTTGTAGGTGAAGATCTAATATTATGTCTACTTTTGACCGTCTGGTTAGGTAGCCACTATTAGGACTAGCATAGCCAGTATGATACGTGGAGGCAGCATGGATTGTAATGTGAAATCTGCAATGCTTATATGGCAGTGTTAAGAAACTTTTGGAAAGATTAAACATGAAACGATTTTAGCCAAGGGGTGTGAAAATAAATGAAGATGTGATTGCATCATTCAATTGGAGCCGGATACTTCACCCACTTTTAGTTCAACAACCTGTCCTAAATCTTGTGACTGCTTACTTTATTATTATTCACAATTTTACTTCTTATGGTGAAGTATACTTGGACTACATTCATCACAGGAAACATTACTACTTATCTTCTGGTATTGTAATCGAATCCATGAGTAAATTGAATAGTAGGAAATACACTTGGACCAACAAGTTATTGAATCCCACTTCTAACTTTCTAAGTGGAGATTGTAGTTGAAATTTGATGGTTTGTTCTCCTATTAATTCTGGTTAATTGGGAAATGGAGGAACTATTAGATACTGTGATGGTAGCATTATTATGTTGTTCTATTTACTTTACTCTTAGCACAAGGGGGCCTCACAGATAACTTATGATCGTGTTATGTGATTATCTTCTTATTTTATTTTATTGTACTTGTAACAGCTATAATAAATTGAAGTTGTGAATATAAAATTTGCTGGTAGGCATGCAGGCTCTTCACCTCAACATTTTCTTCCTGGCATAGATTTGGTTCGCTTTTTTAAGGGCTTATTTCCTTTGAAATATTATCTTTTTTTTAATATAATAATTTTGATACTTGAGTTGCTCATGCATATGATGTACAGTGAGCTAGACTTGAGATGATGCTTCAATATTGGTGAAATTGTGAAGATAAAATTGATGAGCATGAGATGAGAGATTTATTATCATTAACTATGGATATGCTTCAACAGTGGTGAAGCAGGGGAGATTTGTTATGACTTATAATTTTGCTATGGACATTGTTTTTACATGGTTGGAATGGATTGGTTTTTATAATTAACAAGCATCGTTCATGTCAGCATATCCCACCAGCATCCTTATTATGCATATATGTATCAGAATGAACTTTGAAACATTGATGATAAGCATGGTCAGTGAACCTAAAATAGATAAATCACATAATTGAACATATGAAACCACATTAAGATACTGCTCCAGGACATTTCTGCTTCAACCTGCACACTCTGCTTTTGGTTACTATTACTACTACTATCGTTATTATTATTGTGGTGATGTCCACATACTGTGAGATCGAGTGATCTAACCGCAACAGGAATGCTACAATATGGTCCTCTCTCACGATTTATTATTCTAATGAGTGTCTAGTCTCTCAAAATAATGTCATACGTTGGGTATGTTTTCACTCTCTCTCAGCGTTCTGCTAGGCTGACTGACTGACATTGGGTAGTGACCTTCTCTTTTTACTGTAATGAGTTCACTGTATATTGTTCTTGAAGTTAATTTCAACCTTTATCATATGTGTAAAATAACTCTGTTTCTGTGCTCCTACATTGTTTCTGTTTAAAGGAGCCGAACACATTCTCAGTTCATTACAAATCTTTAAAATACTTACTGCGTATTTATATATATATATATAATAGGTGAACAATCAATATTAAACTTTCAAGTTTATATAAATATTTCAATTTCCTTTGGGTAAAGAACAGTTGGACAAATTTGGGGCATAGATGAATCTTAGACCTAGATGCTCCTTGGTCTGTGAGAGGAATTAAGCATTATCATGTTCATGCGACCTTGTATGTTGGACATATTCTACTATTTATGCTCTCCTAGAATGTTTATGATTGTTGGTAAGAGAACTTGTATCTTCATGTATACGGGATTAAGGCAATAATAATGCTGATGGTGGTGGTAGGAGAACTTGCGTACTCAACTCAACAACAAAGCCTTTTTCCAACCTACTTGGGATTTGACTACATGAATTCTAGGCTATAGCTTCAGCCAAATTATATGTAATCATATTTTCCCTTACTAAATGTATCCATGTTAATTGTGGTCTTTCCCTTTCCCTTGTAATTTCCTTAATGTGGACCGTGTTATACTTCCTAACTGGTGCACTTAGAGAATGTCCAAACCATCTGAATTGGTTCTCTCTCATTTTAGGTCTAGTGGGTGCTACTTCGAACTTTCAACCATCTCAAAAATGTGTTCATTTGAATTCTTTCATGTCTTTTCTTAGCTGCTCAATTTTCAGTCTCATAAAGAATGACTGGTTTATCAGGGTTTTTTTACTTCTCTCTCAATCTTAGAGGAATGCACTGATCACATGATATCTAGGCGCTCACTAGGCTCCATCATTAACCTTCCCGACATAAATCAAATTGATTTTTCAACACTTCGATTTTCCGTTTTAGTTGTTCAAATCAAGTTTTTGTGGCTTGCAGGTCATTTGATGACTTTGAAGTACATATTCTCAGGTGCCCAAAGTAAAGCAATAACTTTCACGAGAAATTGCATGATGAATGGTTGGTGTCATTGTTCTTCCTCCTACTTTTTGACCTTTTGAAAAGCAATACATCATGCTACTTTTAAGAGGATTAATGCCTAACTTTTACTTTGGTAACTTTATGTGCTTTCACAACACCTAACATTGTCCAATAATACTGTACAGATGTAGTATCCTTCTCTCTATTGGAATACTCTGGCCTTATTTTCGGTTTCTGTTAGCTCGTGCTTCTCATTTAGACTGTTCTTCGTCTATACTTTATGGCTTATGCACCACCTAAATGATATTTCTATAAATGCCGGAATAGATCCACCGAAATGTTTCCTCTTGATTTGTCTTGGCTGAGTAAAAAAACATGTGTTGCTTATCTGTGACCAGGTACAAGGATATTCCAATGGATGTGATTCATGCTACAAGAATTAGTTAGGAACCCCAGAAAACGTCAAAAGTTCCTCACATTGCATAAACTGTATCACACAGCACAACCAGTCTACTCGGGAGAAGCAATACATGAGACCACACTGGAATGCTTGATGCCATGGTTCCAGACTCCAATAAAACTGGAAATGGAACAGTTCGATTTCAATCCAATCGACTTTTCTGAGGTTGTCTAGTGTTGGGTACATGGATCTGAAAAAATGGTTCATTGAGCACCATATATGTGAAAGTGGCAACTCCATGGCACAGTTTTGAACCTTTTATGTATCATTTTTCTACTGGTTAGTTTAGCCGAACTTTTTTGTCTAGTTGTTGTGTGTGGGGTATGTGTCTCTCATCAATGTGCGTTTCGGTTTTTATGGTTGAGATCGGATCTTTTTATTCGTGGGAAAAAGGCTTTGTTGAATTGAGTTGAGTTGTAATGAATCTCTTGCCGTGCTAGCAAGTCTTCTTGTTGAAGTATCTTATCAATTATCCCATAGACCTATGATTGAATCCTGCATTTATCCATGCTAAGAGTGTGTATAAATTGAGGAATCTCCATGAAATGAAAGTGTACCAATTTCAAACTTCATCTTCACCTTTGAGGGTTAGTTAGCCCGGAACAAAAGATCTTGTGCCATCGGGCGAGTTAAAATGGTAAAGGTTAAAAATTAAAAAACAAAACTTTTGTATATACATACATGCATGATACTTTGGGATGTACGTTAGGGTAATGTTGGGATGTTGGTAAGAAAAAAGTTAGGATGTAATGTCGTGATGCAAGGTCAACGTCCTAACATTTTCTTAACATGTATTCCAAATAAAACAAAGATGAATAGTGAGATTGTGGTAAGGAGAAAGTTGGGACGTAAGTTAGGAAAATATTGTGATGCATGACCAACGTTTTAATATTTTCCTAACATGTATTCCAAACGAGATAAAAAGATGAATAGTGGAATGTTGGTAAGAAGAAAGTTGGGATGTAGGTTAGGAAAATGTTGTGATGTACAGTTTGCATCAAGATATGTTTATTTATGTGATATGTTTATTTATGTATTTGTATAATAAGTTGGGATGTACCGTATGTACCAAGATATGTTTATTTATGTATTTGTACAGTAAGTGGGATGTTGGTAAGGAGATAGTTATATTGGTAAGGAGAAAATTGGGATGTATTGTTCGTACCAAGATATATTTATTTATATATTTATATAATAAGTAACTTAATACGGTGAATTTTTTTGCGACTTGTTTGGGCAACGACGTGGCTCAATAAGAGCCAAACAATGTTCGCTGACTCTGACAAGAGAACTGCAGTGCTGGAGAGGATTTTGATCCTAGTTAGCCCTGGTGTGGGTTGATTCTGTTAACCCTATGCTATTGGGTGTGTGGATAATATGGTTATGAGAACCCTAACTTGGCTTGGTCAGGCCCATTCATGTTGATCATTGCACTGGTGAAAAATCAATGTGTTATGTTCTTATCGACTCCTATTAGTGCCGTGATATCATATAATGGGCGTCATCAATCAATTAATTTTTTTTCGTATAAAGTGTATTTATTTAGTGGGTATATATCATGTTATCAATACAGGAAAATGATTTAAATTTACTTTTTTAATTGGTTAATTATGTAATAAATAAGGAGGTGAAGTCCCCCACTTAATATATTTGCTATAAATAGCCAATTTAAAATTATCCAATTAGTCAATTCACTATAAGTGTTCAGTGTGAGTATCACTCATTGTATCATTATAATATGGACGTTAGAAAAAAACAAAAAATTTCAATTAGAGAGAGGATCATAAAAAATAAAAATAAATAAAAAAAATTCTTAGATATTTAAATATTTCTATTTTCTGTTTTGAATGGCAAAGAAAATATCACTGTATTTAAAACAATGCTTGTCTTAGGCCCAATAAGAAGGAAACTCTTTCTTATAATGAGATGGTCCAATAAAATATCAACAAGTGTTTAAATTTAAAAAAAATAAATAAATAATGACCACAAACAATAGAATTTCTAAAAAATAATACACGCACACTTTCTGTTGAAGCATGTGAGACCAGAGATAGGGAAAAAGAACATGAACATAACTCAAATTCAAAATTCAACTTAATCAATTACAGAAAGAGCAAACACCAAAATTCAAAGTTTCAAGATCTAAAGATGACCCAATCAACAAATACCCATAGCGACCCAACTCAGGACAAAAACAAATACTACGACCGACCCATTTGTATTTTCGAGAAAAATCATTCCAAGAAGGTAATTAAAGAAAATAAATGAACCCTAACAGAGAAAATAACCTTTGAAAAACTGAAGAAATAGCTGATTAAATTAAAATTTAAAAAATCATTACCCGAAGCAAATAGCATTCAAGAACAATCAGATGTGCCACAACAAATAAGACAAAAGAGCGATAAAATCACCAAAACTATATATATAATTTCAGCGTCATAAAAAGGAAGTTACTTCTTCTGCTGCCTAAAACGAACATTATTCCTATATTTATACATAATTACTTAATAGTATTATCTCTCAAAGATGAAATAGCCTTAGGTAACATATGTAAACTACTTTTTATAAATATTCTTTTTCATAAAAGACACTTTCTATAAATTAAAAAAATAAAACCTCCAATTTTTTACTTTATCTAATAATTTTACTTTAACCAAAATCTCTTCTACTAAAAAAGTGCTTCCTCTGGCAAGAGAATTTTCAAATTAAAATATATTCGAAAAGGAGACAAGCTTCTGAGTAGGTATTGAAACGACGCCGAATGCTTCACGCAGTACTGGTTCGTACCCATCCAAACAGCCTCGTATTTTTATTATGCGGAAGAACAAGACACTTCAGAGTTCACGCACTCCTAGAGAAAACCACTCCGCTTCTCTCTCCGACTCGATTTACAAGCATTTCAACTGTAAATCTGTCTGCGAAGAGCTTTGATTGATCAAAGTATAGCCGATTTGGTTTCGATTCGATTCGATTTACATTTCGTTTACCACTGTGATTCATGAATATATAGTTTCGATTTCAATCAATTTCTCTTGCAATATTGGGGTTGAAGATGAAGATACAAGACATCATCTTCTTAGCTTTTGTATTCTGTTTTGCTTCAATTGACAAATCCGTCTCTGTTCCGTCCAAAGAAACTCTCGGAATTCCTCCGAAAGGTTCATCTTTTCCTCTTTAACTACAATCTTCCAGCGAAATATATATATATATATATATATATACATACATACAGACACATATATATGCATATAGTATCTGATATTAATTGATATGTTACATGGATGACCCCAGATCAAAATTATTACAGAACAATATCTGGGTACATCAAATGCAGGGACGGATCCAAGAAATTCACCCCGGCTCAGCTCAATGACGATTTCTGTGACTGCCCCGATGGCACCGATGAACCAGGTCTACTCTCTCTCACACACAAACACATAAAATGATGAGCCGTTATATGCATAATAATTTTACCCTGTAATTGATAAATATGTGTGTATTTGTATAATTTTTTAGTCATAAAGACTAGTGGGTTTGGGGACTTGTAACTGTTTCGTGTGCGTTAATAGGGGAAATTTCGTATCTTGGCATACTGTTTGTTTGGTTGTTATGCTAGAAATGGAGTCCATATACGTTGACAAGATACTGTTGTTGTTTTGCAGGAACATCCGCGTGCCCTAATGGGAGATTCTATTGTCAGAATGCAGGGCATGCTCCAGTTGAAATATATTCTTCTAAGGTCAATGATGGTATCTGTGGTAAGAATCCCCTTTTGCTTGCAGTTTCTCTAACTTGCATTCTTTTGTGTGCTGTTTTTCTTTGATAAATTTAGCTGATATGTATTGATACAACCTGCTGAAGAAAATAACATTGAGAATGTATATAATTCGGCTTCCTATTTTTTTGCTGGTGTATCTGAATATCAAATGGGATTTTTCAATTGCCGTTACGTATGACCTTGAAAATGAATTTAAACTGGTCTGCTCATCTGGCGGCTCCTTTATTAACATTATGGCCCAAATTGGTGAAGAGTCACTTTGGTCGTTGTAAGTTCAGGGAGAATGAGAAAGGACTATTTACTGCTGTTTTCCCTCCCCTTCTTTTGATTACAGACTATGTTACATGGACTTCTTTTAAATATATCTGAAGTAACCGTGTCCCACAAGTAAATTTGCTCATGTTGAACACTTGTAATTTGTGTTAGTTAAAACATCAGTTTACTCATTTAAAAAATGAATATTTATCTGCGTCCTCGTGTGCTTTGCCCCAGTGTACTTGGTTTTCAGGATTTGTAGGTCATACAGCTACACCCAATGCATTTGCCCAAGTCCGTGTAACATAGGTTCCAAGATTTTATGTAATTTATGAATGGAAAAATCTATCAAGAGTGCATTCTCACCATGAGCACTCTTTTGCATCCGTTGGACTCGAGACTTTTGATCTATATGAATTATCAAGATGCTGCTGTCATGCACCCTTTGTTCAAGTTATTTCATGATTGATTGTTAGTATAATAATGACTCGACTCGAGAAGTAGATAGATGTCTACGGTATATGAACAACTGTGCCTGAAATAGGATTGTCAACATGACATTGCATGTGGTCACATTAGGTCCATGATCTGGTTTTATATTGTTTTAATCCTTCGACTTGTGACTCGTGGTCTTGATACTTGATAGTAAAACACGTTTATTTATGTGTTACATTTTGTTCGTTTGTTTTTATATTTTTATCCAGAAGTAACTAATAGTAATTAATTTTGAACCGTCCATGTTGAGCAGATTGCTGTGATGGGAGTGATGAGTATGATGGTAAAGTGAAATGCCCAAATACTTGCTGGGAGGCTGGAAAAGTTGCTAGAGATAAGTTGAAGAAAAAGATTGCAACATTTCAGGAAGGGGTCACTTTGCGAAAGCAGGAAGTTGAAAAAGCAAAACTAGCGGTAGCCAAAGATGAATCAGAATTGTCAAAGTTGAAAAATGAGGAGAAAGTACTTAAAGGGCTTGTTCAACAGCTTAAGGGTATATATATATGTATATATATATCAATTCAGTTCCCTATTATCCACTGTCTGGGATTGCGTGTACCTTTTCTACTTTAATATGCACTAGTTAATTCCAAATTCAATAAAGTTTACAGAACCTGTGCTCGCTGCTCGGTAAGGATGGAAAATCTGAAAGTGCAATTGAATGAATACCTAAACTAATAGAGGGGGGAACTACCCAAGAGAGATGACACTTAATCATCATCAAATGTAGTTGCCCTTAATGCCCGATTTGTGGAACCATATATCAATTCCCATTCGGTAAATACATGCATGTCTAAGGCACATCTACCTGAGGAATCTAAACTTTCTTGTAACTGGTCAACTAAGTGCTGTACAAGAACCTCAGTTCTTACTGGAAAAGTGAATCGTCTTAGAGATTGGAGCAGGTGAATTTGCCAGATGATCTCCCTGAGTTGTGAGGTTTCAAGGAACTTCCTTTAAAAATTCAATTTTCTTTTAAACTAGGATTTTGAAACGCTGTTTCCTTGCAGTCATTTAGAAAGCCCTTCCCTTTCGCCACTTATCTAATTGTCTCATACTGTAATCCTTTTTGGATGGGGTCAATATCCATGTAAGCTTGAAACATTGCAGTTTACCTCTTCCGCCTTTGAGGCTGAATGTTCTTCTTGTTGCGGAAGTTTAAAGTTATGATGGAGTTGTGGTATTTAAAAGTAAATTTATACATAAAAAAATTCCAGTATCCTAAATTCGATTAGGCTAAAATCTTTCGGGATGGTGTTCGAATATGAGTGCTGATAACAAATAGAGCTTCTTCTTCTTCTTTTTTCGTTTTTTTTTTAAGGCCTTTTTTTGTTTGAAAAGCTTTAAACATGTTGCTACCTTGAAAGATTACATTGTTATGTCATCAGATAACATTTAACTTAGTTTCCATTCAAACCACAACACCCCCCCCCCCCCCCCCCCCCCCCCCCCCCCGCTCTATCGGTTGGGTTGGGGTATAAAAACTCTTACATAGTCTACTCTTGACTGTTTTGGTGTTTTTCCTTTTCTTTTACGTAGTTCCTATTTGGGAATTCCTTTTTGTGGTGCAACTGGTATTAGTCTGGTGCTGGTTTGAGGCATTGGTGTTTTTCACGGCTATCTTTTTTCCATAGTTCTGGTGGAAAAAAAGATTCTTCTTATGCACTGTATGATGTTTGGCCTCTTCTAGGTTTATTTGGGAGGAAAGAAACACAGAAGAGATTGTACTAGAGTTTGAGTTTTGGAATGTTGTCAAAGATCAAATTTTTTCTCGACTACTCTAGTTAGGTCTTACTTTCATGGTTTCTTTTTCCAATATTCATCTAATCTTGAGTCTTGATTATAATGAACTAGATCGATGTTCTTTTTCTCAACCAAGAAGCTCTTAGTTTGCCCATTTTTTGGAGTTCTCTAGTGAATATTTGGTTAATTTTTAGCTTTATGGGTTCTATTTAAGCAACCTAGTCAGTGTAGGGTTGGTCATCTTTTTTTTTTTTGGTAAGTAATAATGAAATAAAAAGGCGTTTAAAAGGGGAACGCGTCCCTTATACAATAGTGGAACCAGGGCTAAGGCCCCAAAGAATCCAAGAAAATAATTAAATCATCAGAAAAGGAGCAAGAACTCCTTTTTACATAATTGAAGAAAGAACGAAGAATATAAAGTTTCAGCGTTGCTGTAGACGACTCCTTCCCTTCGAACATTCTATTATTTCTCTCCTTCCAGATGCACCACCAAACGCAATATGGGACAATTCTCCAGTAATCGCGTATATCCTTTCTCACACGACATCCTCTCCAAACATGAATCAAATTCTTAGTAGAACGTGGCATTACCCAACGCATGCCGAACAAGCCAAGAATAAGATTCTAACAGTCGTGTGCCACAGGGCAATGCATAAGGAGGTGATTAACTGATTCCCCGTCTTTCTTGGATAGGCAACACCAATTAACAAAACAATTGCCCCTCTTCCTCAAATTATCAATCGTCAGTATTTTATTCCATACAACGGTCCATATAAAGAAAGCCACCCTAGTTGGAGCCATGGAACGCCAAATGGTCTTCCACGGGAAGTCACGGTTATCAAAATAAGACAGACATAAGAACAAAGATCTTGCTTCGAAACGACCGTGGGAAGAGGGAACCCATATCAAATCATCGTGACCTCTGCTAACTCCCTTTTGCCGATACAATTGATCCGGAAAAACACATACCTCGTTCAACTCCCAATCCTGAAATGAACGCCGAAAATGCATATCCCACGTAATCCCACTACTATCAAGCCGATAACAGTTAGCTACGTAGGCGTGTTTATCAACTGCAATACTATATAATCTAGGAAATGTGCGAGATAATGGCTGTTCACCACACCAAAGGTCTTCCCAAAAATGAACGTGGCTGCCATCATGAACTTTGAATCTAATATGAGCTGGAAAAACATCCCATCCCTTTTGAATGGATTTCCACACCCCGACTCCTCCCACAAGAGAAACCGGACGGGTAGACCAGCCAGCCGCTAACCTCTTCCCCAATCCGACATGAGACTAATCTTCGCCAAGGATGATGTCTTTCCCTCCCGAATCTCAACAACCATTTACCCAGGAGAGCTTGATTAAAAGGAACCAATCGTCTAATACCAAGACCACCCAACTTCACGGGCTTGCAAACTTGCTCCCATCTGACAAAGTGATACTTAAACTCGTCACCCCTTCCGCCCCATAGGAAATCCCTTTGAATTTTTTCAATCCTATTAGCAACGGAGCATGGAATTTGGAACATAGATAGAACATAAGTGGGGAGGCTCGATAAAGTACTCTTAATAAGAGTAACTTTACCCCCCTTAGGCAAGTATTGCTTGTTCCATCCTGCCAATCTCGTCGCATGCCTGTCAATCACTGAATCCCAACTCCCCACTCTCTTTGAAGAGACCCCTAAGGGCAAACCCAAATAAGGAATAGGAAAAGAGCTCACCCAGCACGCAGCTAAAGAAGAAATTTCCTAAACATTCCCTACCGGGACAAGCACACTCTTAGCCATGTTTACCTTTAGCCCAGAAACCGCCTGAAAACAAGCCAGGATGCACCTCAAATATCGAAGTTGAGACACATCAGCATCACAAAAAACCAGGTTAATGTCTGCAAAAAGTAAATGGGAGATCTCCACCTGATGGACTAGATCTCTACCCACCCTGAAGCCCTTAATAAGACTAATATCCTCTGCCCTGTGCATAAGTCTGCTTAAGCCCTCCATAACAATTAGAAAAAGGAAAGACGACAAAGGATCACCTTGTCTTAAACCCCGAGTACACCCAAAAAAGCTAGCGGGAGATCCATTCACAAGAATTGAAAACTTGACAGACGAAACACGTCTCAATCCACTTCCTCCATCTGCTCCCAAACCCTATTCTTTGTAACAAATAAAGTAGGAAGTTCCAGTTCACATGATCATACGCTTTCTCAATATCAAGTTTGCATAATACTCCAGGAACACTACTACACAATTTGGAGTCCACACATTCGCTTGCAATAAGAACTGAATCAAGAATTTGCTGACCTCCAACAAAAGCATTCTGGGAATCCGAGATAATCCCATCTATTACTTCCCTCATCTTTAGAGCAAGCACCTTCGCTATGAGTTTGTAAATACAGCCCACTAAGCTAATTGGATGAAAATCCTTAATGTCAGAAGCGCCTCCCTTCTTAGGAATAAGGGCAATAATGCCAATAAATGAAGCATTTAGCGACTTCTAAAAGACACCAGTAGAATGAAACTTCTGAAGTATACCCATCACCTCATTTCTCACTACCGCCCAACTTTCCAACAGAAAACGCACAGTAAACCCATCAGGCCCTGGAGCTTTGTCCCCATTACAACTTGACAAAGCCTTCAAAACTTCATCTTCAGTAAAAGGACTCTCAAGCCCATCTCTATCCAACTAAAAAATAGCCTAAAAAAGGAGACCGTTAAGTTTGGGTCTCCAAGCTAATGGCTCGGTGTAAAGCTTCTGATAAAAAGAAACGATCCCATTACGCACCTCTTCCTCCCTCCACAATTCCACATCTTCCACCCGAATTCGTCCTATATGATTACTCCTTCTGTGAGCCTTAGCTAGTCTGTGAAAGAATTTTGTGTTACGATCTCCTTCTTTTAGCCAAAGAGTTCGGGATTTTTGTCGCCACGAAATCTCCTCCATACAAGCAATCTCAGCAAGAACAGCCTAACAGGAAGCTCTCCTAGAACGTAAAGACTCCACATCCCCTCCCGCCTCCTCAAGACAATCAATCTCGGAAAATTCAGCAAGAACTCTATTCTTCCTCCATTCCAGATTCCCAAAAACATCATTGTTCCACTGCTTAAGATCGAATTTGAGAGCCCTTAACTTCGTTGTTAACGTGAAGCTGGGCGAACCTGAAACTATTACTCCCTCCCACCAAGATCTAACTTTCCTTTGGAAGTCCTTCGCTCTCAACCACATATTCTCAAATCAAAATGGGGATCTTCGAAAACACAAACCTCCACAATCCAAAACCAAAGGAACATGATCAGAAGTGACCCTTACTAAAACCGCCTGAACGACATCCGGGAATTTCTCTTCCCACTCCCCAGAAATTAGAAATCTGTCCAGTCTTGAAAGAGTGATTAGATCCTTGCCATTTGACCAGGTATAGGCTGCACCTTCCATTGGTAAATCAACAAGAAAATACTTATCAATAAAATCAAAAAACTAATCCAAATTTGAGGACCTCCTTCCCCGTAGAACTTTCTGATGGGGACCTGATAGAATTGAAGTCCCCACCCAAACACCAAGGGAGAGACCAGAATCCTTGAACATAGCAGAGCTCCTCCCAAAAAATAGTTCGCTCATTATCAACAATCGGTCCATATACTCCAGAAAAAACCGATTTGAAATTGTCCTCTTCCATCTTAAACTCACAAGACACAGAAAATCTCCCCATCCACACGTCCATTCTTGACAACCATCTACTATCCCATATGACTAAGATCCCACCCGAAGTACCTATGGCATTCAAGGCCTCCCGTTCCACAAACCTTCCTCCCCACAAACTCCTTACCACCCCGTCAAAAATGGATGCCAACTTGGTTTCTTGCAAACAAACAACCTGGGCCCCCCTTTCCTTAAAGTTACCTTTACCACCCTCCTCTTGTTCGGGTTGTTGAGACCACGAACATTCTATGTAATGATTCGTAGCTTCATTAAAAACCAGATAAAATTATCTCCCCTCCTCCCTTCCTTAAACTCTTACTTCTGGTCGTTCCCCTTTCCTTCACCACCCCTCTTCCCTTCATAATTGACAAAAGAGATGAGGTTCTTAACCTCCTGTGCCCCTTTCCAGGACGATAAGGGCCTCGTGTTCATGACTTCACTAGTCACTGCGACCTCCCTTCCTTCCACAATTGCTTGAAGGATGGATAATGTCTGGTCGTCATTACCCTCTGATGAGACTCCCAGCAGCTCACTAGTGACTCCAATATTATCAACTACCCAATCCTTTCCCATATCAGCAGCCTCTTCTTAACAGTCAGGTCACACAACAGCCAGTGGTTCCTCCACTAATATATCAGAATCATTCTCCAGCCAAGGGACAAGCTCATTAGAGCAAACCAGTTGGATAGACCCCAAGTCATCCATCTCCTCTTCAATAGCTCTTCCATTCTCATACGTAGTATCTGATTCTGTAGTGAAGTCGCCCATTCCAACGAATCTGATAGGCTCGTTCTCCTCAGCCCCTGCAAATGGCAAGCAGTTAAGGCCTTTCAAAGCTACACGTAATCGAAGCTCTTTGAACAGAGCCACATCCTCATCATTGGACAACTGAAAATGCAAGTCTCTCCCCATACAGACCGTAACCCCCTCAGACAAGTCCTTGACTGCACAGCCAGCTAGGTCCATTTGCCCTGAAATAACAGACTCGCAAACTTCCTTTTCTTCCGTATTCAACCCATGCACAACTTCAGGTCCAGAATGCGTAACAGGTAGCCCACCCCTCTTCTCCATTGCCGTCACAACTACATCACTCCTTAGCACCTCACAAGAAGGGGTAGAAGAAGAAGATGGAGCAGTAAAGGAGCTCCGAGGGTGTGAAACTGAGGACGTACCTGAGTTAGTAGAAGTTCACTTCTGCTTTTCTTTTCTAGACCATCTAAATCCATTACGATTTCTATGAGAATCCCGAGACGGAAATCTGGAAATTCTTCCCTTCGGCAGTGCAGTATCAGAAAAGGATGATGTTGATATGCCGGTGCAGCACTGAGAATGACGAAAAACCTTCTCGACAGATCTTACACCAGCCTCGGCAGCAGAGAGATTCATCCATCTCCTCTTCTCCGGCGAGTTCCATAAAGTTGCAGAGGTGTCTTTAAAATGACGACACTGCGGGTTGCTAAGTTCTGTAGAAATAGGTTGGCTGGGCTTGGTGTTGAGAACAGAAACTGAAATCACGACTTTCTAAGATGTTTGGCTAATGGTGCGGGAATCAGAACCCTCACTCGCCAGTGAGGGTTAATAATTAGTGAAGGATGATGGCAGCAACATGGTTAGAATTAGATGGTTTAATAAGGAAAATGTGGAACTGCATCAGTTAGGGTGCCATGAATAGGTGAAACTGCACAAGAATACAAGATAAGGGTACCACTGTTAGAAATTTCCCAAGTGATAGATTGTCAATGTATCAAATTAAATAAATGGAGTTTTACACTAATTCTTATTTTTTTTGTAAGATTTTACATAATTCCGTGTTTTATTTTTCATTTACCCTCCACCCCTCCAGCATTAGATTAGATACACTTTTTTAGTATACCTGCATGCAACATTAAACTGTATTACCTTTTTTTTTTTCTTCTGGTATAAAAGTTTGTCTATTTTCAAAGTCTCACATTTTCTCTTTCCCCAGATTATCATAATTTAATGGCCCAACATCGGCAAGATTTTCTTCTCCTTTTTTAGCTACTGTATTCATTTTTTATTTTTAAAAAGTTAGAAATATCAAAGCTGCTATTAACTTGACTGATATTTCCAACTATCCCCAAGAGGGAGGTGCAGGATTAAAGTCCCAAAATCCAATTGGGACATTGAGTGCATGTGTATTACTTTACAAAGAAAAAGTGCAGAAATTCTTATTGGCTATCTTCATTAAAATGATAACATGATGAAGCGTCAAAATCTTATTGGTTAATCCATAAACAGATCCTATATAAACACAACAGGTCGTGTGTACCAAATTCCTATTAATAAATACAAACGCATTGCAACTAATTCCCAAATTTCCTTGATCTTGAGACATATAATTTCACTATAAATGTGAACCATAATTCCAACACTAGTAATTAGTATTTAGATAACATAGTAGAAGTAAGTGGATCAATTAGTAAAACAATTCTAAAGAAAAATCGTTATTGATGATCCAAGACCATACATATAGATAGAAATGCTATTTATTAAATTGCCTACACAACAAATGGTCAAAATTGCTTATCATCTCTTATGAAGGTTAAAAAAAAAATGTTTTGGAATATACAGTTCTTGATACTGTAGAAAAATCAAAATAATTCTCTTGGCTAATTCCGTTACAGTTATTATAGTACTTGCAACTATTGATATGTAGAATTAAGGGACAACAGTTAAATGGTTGGTCTTGTAATACAAAGCTTACTTTAATTGACTGTCTTTTTGCTTCGCCTACCATGTAGAGCGCAAGGAACAGATAGAGAAAGCAGAGGAGAAAGAACGCTTGCAGAAAGAAAAAGAAGAGAAGGAGAAAAAAGAAGCTGCAGAAAGGAAAGAAAAAGAAGAGAAGGGAAAAGAGGAAGCTGACGAAGCTAATTTAGATAAAACTAAATCTGTGGGTGAAGCTGACAGTCAAGAAGGAAAATTAACAGAACGTACAAATGATGACAAAATTGAACAACTGGAGAAATCTCTTTCACATCAGGTTGGTCTGATTCTTGTTTAGTATTGATGCTTAAATTTAGCAACACGTACATATTTATGCAAACAAATTTTTATGTACATCTTCAAAAGCGATATGTGGCAGGATCAAATTGTACAAGATATGAGACAGTAACTCTTTCTACAATTCGTCTTTTTATGACATTCATCATTGGATTGGATGTTCCTCTCATGCTTGCCATTTCTGCCAAATGTCAAGATATGAGAAGGACCCACTCTTCGTGGACACTTCCTAACCAGTTTCTGAGGAAGAGGGAGGCCTTTAGTTCCTCGAGAAAGCTACACATTGTCACATTTCCCCATGATCTAAGCCCTCCTATCTTCCCCCGTCTCTCTTCGGTCTCGATACGTTAAATGTGTCGGTCGACGATGTCTGAATTACATTTAAGTCATTAAATGTGTCACCACTATTACCTGTATGTAATGATGGCTCGTTTGGCATAGTCTACACGTGGACCTTTGAATCCTCACCATACCTGACAGCCCTTACCTATGAGTTACCCAATCCTCCGCCACTATATGAAGGAGGCTAGATTTCATCAGACAGGGTTAATCGACCAATTCACCAACCAGTGCACCAACCAAAGCTGGGCATCATTAAGACACCTCCATTTCCCAAAACCCCTATGGCCTTGCTTTACTTATTGAGGAATATCTCAGGAAACTATTAATCTACTGCCACGTCCCACTTCCTTTGGGTTTGCCTGGCGTCCCACTTGGGCTGATCTACCTTGGTTGCTTTTCCTACATCACTTAGAATCCATATAGATAATATTAAAATGTTTTAATATTATATATATATGTATGTATAGTAATACACTATAATTTTTTATAAAAAGAAAAATAAGACTTTTTCTTTTAATAATGCAAGAAATGATAAATCTTTCTAAGAAGAGGCAAATCCCCACTAAGACAAAATTTGAGAAGTTCTATAATCAAATGCTAAACAAATCCAACATCCACTAAAACCATAAACAAGCTTTAGAAAGAATTTAAATGACCCCTTATAGGACCTAATGAAGATGCCCCTTGTTTAGTTTGTAACTTTGCTTTCTTGTGGATAGATTTAGGTATTCATCTACTGCATCTAAGGTTAAAGACTTGTCAAAACTCTCTCTCATTAGGTTATTGTATTGGCACATGGCAGTAGACTAATATCTAACCCGACCCACGGACATGTTAGAATTACCATTAGTCAAACATTAATGCTATTCCTGGGGTAGATGCTTCCATGATACCATCAGAAGAGCTTGAAAACCAATTGATATATTACCAGAGGATACGGTATCCTCTTTGTGATCCCTTATGATTCTTCTAATTCCTAGTTCTCCGGAATTACCAATAGAAAAGCCATCATAGTTTAGCTTAATCTAGCTTTTGAAGCACCAAGGACCATATCTCATCTGTCCTTAACTAGGGTTTGTTAGTTTCTTCCATATTTAATTGTGGCATGTTTTTATGGTCAACGGATGGATGGGTTGGTCATAAGATGACAATATGGAAAGCCTCTCTCTTAGCTTCATCTGGAATGTTTGGAAGGAATGTAATACAATAACCTTTGAGAATATTAAATTAAATTAAATGCATAAAATGAGTAATTATTTTGTAGTGTAGAATAACACACGGAAAAAAAATTGTTTCGTTAATTTTGTAGAGTCTGTCCCCTGTTGCATTTTAAAACTTTTATTTTTGTATGGCTTGTACAAATGAAGTGTTCCTTCTTTGTAAAGGTTGCTCACCTGTCACCCAATTTTCTTATTTGAGCAGGGGAAAAGAATAGAAATAAAAATACGCATACAAGTCTTTATCTTGCATCCCTCTTATGGATACCTCCTCTCTGAAACAAAATGTATCAGATACCCTTGTCAGTGAGATTATCATTTGAGCCTTGTAAATGAACTTTTTTTAACGGCCCTGATCCTTGCCAACGAGAAACAAAAGCATCACTATCAATTTGATAAACCCGGTAAACATGTCCTTCCAAAGTTATAGAATCATGAAGAAGCATTGGCATGACATCTAGAAGTGAGGTTGCGGTTGAGGGTTTTATTTCTATCACTAACAATTAGAAAAATATGCCCAAAACAATATTGTTCACTAAATGGGAATAGAGAAGCAATTTAGAAATGTTTGGATAGAAAAATTCGATCTCTACAATTTGGGTGGTAAGACGCCAACCTTTGAAAAAATCTATTGTTAGAAGAATGATGAATCACAATCTGGCTGAAGCCCAACTTACCTGTGAACAAGTGATAGAGAACAGTGGCAGCAACCTGTTAAAGTGTATAAAAGGCGTGGGAAAGAGGGTTCTAAGGCTCAAGCCTTAATTTGGCACATGTTAGATGAAGTGGCGTCCACTAGGAGTCTTGCATAATTAGGGGGTTTGGTCAAATTACATAGTTATGGTAAATTGCATCAATTATGGTGAAATTGCATGGTTATGATAAATTGCATATTATGGTAAATTGCACGAGTCAAGTTTTTGTTACTTTTATTATGCTTAGAGTCAACCTATTGATTACCTGAATTATGGGGAAATCCAAGGGTCATGAATTATTATAAAGGGTCAAGTGCAGAATACACCCTTAGTATGCTTACAGTGCGTATCACACTCATCACGTGCAAAAAATACCCCTAAAGTTTCAATTTGGGCAAATAGGTTCCTTCTGGCAAATTTAAGGTAGAGTTTACCCAAATTGCCCTTATATACACATTTTACATATTATTTAAACATACATATTTTGTGAAATGACGAAAATTGACACAAAGCGAAACGACATCGTTTAGTATATGAGGGGTGTGATTCGTACTCTAAGCATACTATAGGAGTGTTTTCTACACTTTATCCTAAAAATTATTGTTGTTTTGAATTTGAACACCCATTTTTTGCTATGTAAACAATTATATATATATACTTATCAAATATATATATATATATATATATATATATATATATATATATATATATATATAATGAATAAGTATCTTTAATTTAATTTTTTTATTATATATTTAATGAAAAATGATAAACATGTTAAATTTTTATTGGGAATATTTTTTTCTTTTTTATAATTATAAAAAAAAAAAACTTAGGTTTTCATTCCATGTGATATAATCTCCATTAACTCGACAACTGTGAGAATAAATAATTTTTTTGAGATGTTTTTTTTTTTTTTAATCTCTATCTGACAAGTAAAATAAATACATATATTAGAAATTTCTAATTTATGAGTGGCATTAAGTCCTAGGAAATGTTTAACTCTCGACTCAAAGAGAGATAATAAATTGTTAGGGGAAATATATAGAAAGAAATTTTTTATTATTTTTTTTGGAAAGTTGAGAGAAAAATCCTTAAAAGTAGGTTAAATGTGCACATAACACCCCTATACTATGAGATTATTAGCATACTAACCCTCTTGGGCATTTTCGGAAAAACGGGCATTACAACATTACTTTATGTCAGATTTCTATTTGAGGGGTGTTTCCGCACAATGTTGAAAGAATAAAGGGGTTAGCACACTTTTTCAAATAGGGGTGAAAGTGCAACATGGAATATACATAAGGGGTGTTTTCTGCATTTGACCCTATTATAAAAGGATAATATGCCAAATTGGTGGGAGAGTGAAGGCATGAATAAAATATCTTATGAAATTTCTTGGTGAGTGATTCATAAGATATGAGGGTTTCAGGCCGGCCTCCCTAGGTGTAATGCCTAAACCCCTTTGTGTGATTCCAACCTTCTTCTCTACTAACACATCTTGAACCATAGCTTTGTTTATCTGAATTTCCAGCCCAAACTCTTATTTGTTTTCAACTATTTGAGGCTGCTTATGTCCTACATCAACAAGTGTGTGATATATATATTTATTAAATTATGTTGGCCTTGAATTTAGAAATGGTATCCTGATTTTAAGATGGGCATATCCTCGTCCAGGCCTGTAAATAGTTCAACTCCCGATTTTAAGATCTTAGGCCCAGGCTTGTAAACAGTTCTGCGTCAATTTCTTAAGTTTTAAGATTGGTATCTCTGCATCCTTAAAAGTGTACGGGGATGTGTTTTGCTCCTAGATAGTTGTGGCATAAGACTTGAGGCAAAAGGTGATGCAGTCCACTTGAATTGCAGCATGTTTATCATTAGTTTTCCAACATTACACAACCTCATTAATTTGAATCAAGAGCCTACTTTATGTAGAAATAAAGCAATGATTTTTTAACCTTGATGGTGGGAGTTTATAAGGCCTTTTTCTTATAAAGGTTGAGAATCAGGACTGTTGATTTTGTTTTAATAAATGTTACTTAAAAAAAAAGGAATGTACTTTAAACTATTATAGAATTAACATGATGGTTGCAATTTCTCATTTTGAATGAAGTGAAATCCGAATCTATTAATTTTCACATTCTATTTGTCACTCTGTTGCCTTTAGATGAGAGTAGACACTCTTGTTGTGTAACTTATTAACTTCATCACATTCTATGAAATGTTCCGTGTAATAGTGTTTCTTTCTATGTGAACATTTGGCGTTTGTGAGGATGATTGTTACGAATTTAACGCCTTTCTGCTTATTACTCTTCAACAAATGTGTCAATGACTAGATGCATTCCTAAATACCTGTAATGCCTATGTTACTGTGACCACTCAATACTATAACCTCTATCCTGTTGTATTGCAAATACTTGCCCCTTTTTCAGTTCTCTCATTTACAGCCTTCTGATAGGACGTGGCACAAGAAGACGGAAATTCAGTAGGTGAAACTGCGCACATTGATACTTCTGAAAATGAACTCACTCCAAAGAATGGAGTGGAACAGGGAAATGAGGATTCTGGCAATGTATGTTTTTCTTCCAGTAACAACATTCACTGAACTGGTCATTTCCTTACCTTAGACATTAGATCTTGACATGTTTTTGGATCCATATTTCTATCATGATACAGCAAGCTGCAAAGAAAGAGGAAGAGTCTCCTGTTGCATATGAAACTGGTGTTGACACTGGAATTGAGGTACCTCCTGATTATTCCATTAAATTGGTACTTCGTTTTTCTACGTAGCTGTATTCTGTTTGACTCATGGTGTTATTCGATCACTTTATTGGTCGAATTGACCTGTGGTACAGTTCTGCCTTTTGAGAATGTTTTTAAACTAGTTACTTTATTTCTCTGCATAGTTCCATTCTGTTGTCACTGTGTCATTTGATCACTTTAATGATAATACGCCTTGTGGTAGAATTCTGAAAGGTAATCTTTCCACCTAAGTTTGTTTGACAACTTTTTTATGATCCTCAAAACATAAGTTGAAACTAGAAAGAAAATTTAGAGAATATTGCACATGAGCTGGTTCTATGGACCAAAGATGGTTAGTGCATTTAGTGGGTGTCGTAATTTCAATGCAGTCATGCATCACCTCGAGAACACCTGAAACAGTACTTGCTGTTGGGCCTCGTACTGCATCAGGTTGTGGGCAGGTGATAATCGTACGTGGCTCAATGTGCCTCAGCAGCATTTGGGTGCTCACCGAAGTTTAAACCTTACCCTTGTTATTTCTGAAGTAATGTCACATTATTCATACTGTGTTTACCAAATGAAATGAATCATATGAAAATTAGAAAAAAGAGTCATTATCCACAGTGGTTTCTGTGAATGAAATTTGTTTGTCTTTTTTTCTGAAATGAGATTGCAAGGAGAAGAATTATCAATTTGACATGTGATGGTTGAATCCTAAACAAACAAATTAGCCTGTGGTTCTTGAAATTGTTGAGTGGCAAAATTCACTAATTTCACTTGGTTTTTGTTTTTGACATAAATCAAAATATCTTCTCCATAAAAGCTCAATTGAGGCGTCGAACTTTATGGAGATTGTTAGGGAAAGAGAAAAGCTGTGAAGAAAGCGGAAAACTGTTGTAGTAAGACAACATCTGTATAACAATTCTAACACCTTAGTCAGCAAGGCCTTTCTTCTGGCTAGCTAATAAATGTAATTGTGCTAACTTCTATATTAGACTCAAAGTTTAGATAAACGTGCTTGCTTACAATTAATTAATGCCAAAAGTTGACTACATTCATGCTACTGACAGTGATTTACTGTGAGTGTGTGTCTTAGCTGCATAGTGTACTACAAGCACTTCACAAGGAACACATGGCATACTTGAGTTTTTGCCTCCACCATCTCCCCAAAATCAATATCTTCTCTCTTTTCCTTTGCAAAAACTTGCAAGAATGTTCTTTGTGCCAACATAGTAGTTTATATTAACATGTTCTCGATTTCACATTGCCAACCATGTGATTATGTTAAAAAAATGTGTTCTGGCATTCTTGAATTCAGGGTGGCATAATCTTTTGTTGGTTTCCAGAAATTTGAAAGTGCCATTATCCTTTTGCTTTTTCAGAAATTTTACACATTCACAATTCATAATCTTATCATGAAGATCTTCTACATCGGCAAAGTTATTGTTCTTTGGTTATTATTTTTTTGTTCACTGCCTATAGGTTAATAGTCAATGATGAATGCTGTTATTATATTCTAGTAATCTGCAACCCCACTTTTATTATTTACTTCAAAGAATACAAACAGTGATATTCTTGACAAGTATTTATAAGAAATGCTGAAGGGGCTGCAAACCAGTTACATGCGACACATACAAGAGTAATAAAAGGGAAGCTGGTCTAAACCTAAAGGATGATGCATGTCCTCTAAGTATATCAAAAAAGAGAAAAATAGGGAGTCTTTCCGTAAGAGCCAAAAATGCAAGGAAAGAAGGAATTCAGTAAAAAGATTCTTCAAGCTATGAATACAGCCCTCCTTCCTTTTAAACATTCTGCTATTCCTTTTTTCCCAGATGTTCTTAAGGAGACAGGAATATCCTTCCAAGACTCTGTGGAGGGAAATTTTCCCACCACTCACAAGACGTCACATGTCAATAAAAGGACCAGCTAAAATGTATTAGGTCAAGAGCCCAATACCCCACCAAGCAACTAAAGGCCCAGAAGGAAAACGCTGACCACCAAATCGGCCCGAACAGAAGAAAAAAGCCCAGCAAGCCCAACCCAAGGTCTTGGTCAACACAACTAGAAGTAACACTTGTCATAAAAATCACAAAGAATCAGGAAGGATTAATGCTCATATTCGAAACAGTCAATAACCGTTCCATGAAAATCTCCTTGTAAAGATATAAATAAAGGGGCGAGACCCAAATGAAAGGCGGAGTGCCATTTGCCCTTATTCTTCCCTAATCTTGTTATTCTTGTATTTTGTAAGCTGCTCTTCGGCTTTTAATTTCTTCTTTTTTCATTACTACAATCTTTGATTGAGTGTTCAGGTGTCCAAATCCTCGTATTGAATCTTAGTGTTCGGTTTGAGATTTTTTACACCTGCAGACTCCCTCTTACTCCAAGAGAGGTACGGATACATTCCAGCCCCTAGTTAATGACGGGATCGTATAGTGAAGACAGAGTGACATATAAATAGTTATGCACCACAATATGAATTTTAATATTCTTTTAGAGAGTAGTTTGAGGAAGGTAGAAGTTTGTTATTATTTTTGTTGCGTCTTCGTCTTCTATCATCATTATTATTACACCAACCCCTTTTATCTTTAGTTGTTCCTTAGATCATTTTATTTTCTTTGGTTATTTAATTTCACAGTATGAAATTTGACCGACAGTTAAGCACAGCACCTTAGTTGGATTTCTAATATTCATATTGAGAATTGTACGAGGGATGTGGGAATTGAAAATATATTCGTATTGTGCCTTGTTTCATAATCAAATATAATTCTTATTAAGTTAATATGAAAAATAATTTGTTACCTTGAGATACAGTATGTTCATTATATTCTATAATTTGAATTTATGACATTGTAGTAATTGATTTAGTGAATTGAATTGTATTGGAATGCAATTTGGATAGGTGTTAGATGTGTCCCATATCGCACCTGTTAGATGTGTCCCATATCGCACCTGGATGGGAAGTGAAATGGGTACATACGGGTGGGTATGCAACACTATCCAATAGCTTAAGCTTTTGGGTTAGAGGGTAAGCTCCCGATCCGTTACAGTTGGTATCAGAGCCAGATCCAGTCTTTGATCCGGTGTCATGCCAAGTGCCCGACCGGAAGTTGTTCGTGTCTACCCTCGGGTAGGTAGGGTGGTCCAATCGCAACAAGGGCGTTGCGAGTTCGGGTGGGAGAGAATGTTAGAGATAACCCACATCGGATCTGGATGGGAAGTGAAATGGGTATATGTGGGTGGATACGTAATACTACCCAATAGTTTAACCCTTTGGGTTGGAGGGCAAGCGCCTGACCCGTTACAATAATCCATGAACCCAATCATTATCCCCTTCCTCCTTTTTTTTTTTTTTTTTTGGGTTTCGGAAGCATGTGCAGCATCTAAAAAAAATACAAAAACACAGGTCAGGGTTGGGTTAAAAAATCAACTCAATTAAATTCAGGTTGAGCGTATCAGGCAACCAACCCCGTATTCTAACCTGACTATATATATATATATTACTACAAAACACAAATAGGTTACGGTGGATACCTTGTTTTTTCCCTTGCTAGTCGAATGTTTAATAAATCTTTTTTCATTTTTTAAATTTTATTATTATTTATTAATATATATGTAGGTTAGACAATTTACCTGATTTTTTCCAGCACAAACTCAACCTGAATTCAAAGATTTGAGCAAGGGTTGGAGATCGTTTGGGTCACACTTGGATTTCATACATTGTGTAATCCCTCAAGCCACCTAACCTGCTCAAGTTGCATCTCTAGAATTGTAAGAGGTAATAGGGGCGCCTCCATGATTTTTAAAAAAAAAAAAATTGATCTTATTCAGAGTATTTATACTTAAATATTGTAATTCTGTAAACATAATTTATAGAGCGAGCTCTGTTGATATTTTTGTAAATTAAGACATTCACCATATTTGGTCGATCCTTATTTACCCATGATACTTTTTCCATTTGCAAAGAATATTTCTCTTAGAATTTGAAAATTCCTGTTGGAGTTTTGCAATTCTTTTGGAATCTTAAACTATGACATGCTATTATTTACTTGGCATCCTTGTCTGAGTTGGTCACACATGGTTGCCTTCAACTTTTGTTGATGCAATAACTTATAACAGAAAAAGGAAAAATATATATATGTTGAGACGATGGGTTGCTCTATGTGGTTTTTTCAGGAAAAAGATGCATCTGAAAATACTGAATCTTTGTCGAAGGAAGAGCTGGGTCGTCTTGTTGCTTCTCGTTGGACAGGAGAAAATACAGGGCAGCAAACCAAGGAAGTTGGTGATGTAACAAGTGATAATGAGAACCATGAAGAGACACCAAAAGATGCCCATGATGACGGATACGAAAGCTATGAATCAGAAGCGGAGGATGATAGTCAAAGATATGATGAAGACGCAGAAGACCCGGTGGAGGATTTTGGGGACGAGGGTCATCGCGATTCTAGTTCTTCAGACAAATCTGAGTCAGATGATGAATGGGACTTGTCAGGTTTGCAACTGTTCTTCCAATGTCCCGCATGGAAGTTTGAATCTGTTTGTCATGCTTTGTTCTGCAGCTACAACTTACGTTTTTTTGCCTGATTAAGCTAGCCTAACTGCATGTTCAGATATCAGCACAAGAATCCCATCTTGGTTGGGGAAGATACAACAAACTGTGCGGAACGTTCTACAAGCTGTTAATCTGTTCAAGACTCCAGTGAATATATCCGGTACTAATTGAAATATTATGTTTCTTTCAGCACTTAAACCTTTGAATGGTTGTGTAAATGGATTGTCTTTTGCATTTGACTTGTTTAGAGGCTGCTCAAGTACGCAAGGAATATGACGAGTCCAGTTCAAAGCTGTCAAAGATAGAATCAAGAATATCAAGTTTAACTGAAAAGTTAAAACATGATTTTGGTAAGTTAATTCAAAGAAGTTACTTGTGGTTATATTTCAGTGTGATATATTTTCATACGAGGAGGTTATATAAATATTAGCTTGGTTGAACTCGAACTTTACATGCAGGACCAGAGAAGGAGTTCTATTCATTCTACAATAAGTGTTTCGAGAGCAAGCAAAACAAGTTACGGACTTACCGCTTACTTCTTACTTTGTCTCAATTTATACTTTCATGATACTACAAGTTTTCTCATTGTTTTTCTTTGACCAACGAAAAGTCTTGCTCCAGGTATGTTTACAAAATCTGCCCATTCAAACAAGCTTCCCAGGTGGAGGGCTATAGTACAACTCAGTTAGGGTAGGTACCTATTTCATTCAAGTGTTCTTATAGGTCCAGGTTGGATATGACCTTGGGTGCCATTACTGTACAAGCAATTAAAAGAGTTCTATGTTGTCGTGCATGTTTAGAAATGAGACAAGATTATCAATCCTATCCTAATGCATATGAACCCCTTGTGTTTTGCAATTTTATTTGATGTCAATTGAGTGACAACCAAGCGTGGTGGGTGCATTAATTGTTGCGTCAGGTCCTTTGCTGTAACTAACTTTCTCATTTTGGCTACTCCAGTCATTATCTTCTCTTCGTTTTCTGAATATAGGAGCTGGGAGAAATTTGAGGACTCATACAAAGTAATGCAATTTTCAAACGGTGATAAATGCTGGAATGGGCCTGACAGAAGTTTAAAGGTACTGGCAATCATCTTAATTTGTTGGGTTATTCATTGGTTTACTGTGATATTGTGGAATTCCTTATATCTCCAAATTCGCCTTTTCAACTGGCAGCCATATAATCTATTGAGATTTTTCCCAGTTAAGGGTTTCCTTGAAATGGTCAAACTAATATTATCCCAGTCAACTGATTCTGTTGGCGGCGATATTGTCAATGCATCTCTTTCTTTAGCCCTGCTTCAAAAGATTCATTCCTTTTTGTTTTGATTAGTTTAATTGAGTTCACCCAAGATTTAAAATCTCAAATGATCACGATGATGTGGACGTGAGGTGTGCTGGTTGTTAGGCTACAGGGAGCCTTGATTTTTATTTTTATTCTCTTTTTCTGGTCACACATATCCCATAATAGTAGTGATATGTATGTTTTATCCTAAAATCCCATGAAATTTGAATTTTTTTTATTTATAATTTTAAATAAGTTTGTTTTAATCCGTCTTGATGAATTTTATACTGTATTAGTTTGTTAGTCACAGTCGGGACAAAACGTAAACTAATTTGATCTCCTTACTACTTTTATGTCCATAAATGCACTTAAAAATGAAAAAATATCGAAGTGCAAATAAAACCATTGTCTCGATGTCACGTAAGGACAAGAAGGAAGGTAGTAGGATAGATAGATGTATAGCCGGAATGTGATTCCTTATTTTTCGCTTTTCCTTTACTACTAGGAGAGAAAGCATCGCCTGAATAATATTCATCAACTAATTTTTGTATACTAAATTCAAATACAAGATTGAGGCAGGAATTGTTAATTCTAAACTCTATTAGCAGAAAGTGAATCATCAAAATGAGTTTAAAAGTTGCAAATCAATATTAAAGCTATAAACACGAGTCTTTTAAGGATCTAAGATCAGATCTTGCAGATTTGTTGTTTTGGATGGTATATATTATGATGTGATGTTTTAAGAGAATCACAAAAAAAAAAGAGAGAGCTTAAAATGGGATTTAAAAATTCATGTCTCGACAAGGCGCGAAACCGTTATGGGCTGTTATGACCATTACAAGCTGTTACACCTATATGTTTTACTAATAATGATATATGGTGGTCTGTAAGTCGTAACTTGTTCAGGACCTTGCAATCCCATTACGTGATGATCATTATTTAAAAATCTTGAATTGTCTAATTTGTCTGATATGACAGAATGTGTGCAATTAACAGAGTTTGCTTAATGATACTAGTTGAAGGTCATGATTTTTCTCGTCTGTCCTAATCATGCAGGTCAAGTTAAGATGTGGGCTGAACAATGAACTTACTGATATAGATGAGCCAAGCCGTTGCGAGTAAGAAATTCCCCCCTCTCTCTCTCTCACGCACACACTGCAACTTGCATTCACTTGCCATCTAATTTTTATTATGTTATGGCAGATATGTAGGATTATTATCTACCCCAGCTCTTTGTCTGGAAGAAAGACTGAAGGTACTTGTTCTCATTCAATTTGCTGCTTCGACCTATTCTCTTCTGTGGTTGAATTGCTAAATTGGTGAATGATGTTATGTGATAGGAACTGCAAGTCAAATTAGACTTGATGAGCAGGGAACAACCTCAAGGTCACGATGAACTTTAAGCCGTTCTAGGTTCACATAGTTGAGTTAGTTGATTCATTTTCTTCGGAAGAATCATCAGTTTCATCTTTGAAAGATACCATCAAACTCAAGTCGACCTCGTTGCAGGTAGTATTTATGAACTGCAAGCAATATATGAAGCGACTGGGCTAATTATGTTTTTGTTGTGGAGCTCACTTCATTTAATGGTTTACATTCTTCTTGAAATGTTGAGTGAGGCTTAGGTATGAAAAAAGAGCTACTATTAGAAGAGGGGGTGAGTTGAGGCTTGGGATCACTTAAAACAGTGTTCGATAGAACTGATCTTGATAATGTTAATCTTCTTCTCTTTGAAATGAACTTGTAGAATGATATTTATTATCGGAACATTTTATGCACTTTTTGCCCCAACTGGACTTGAACCTAGACCTTCCACTTAAGAAGGTTGTAGAAGATACACCTCTAGACTACAACTTTGGTCCGAACAAATAATATTTCTCCCTTGTCTATGTTTGGGTTGTGCAATATTGCAATTTGATTGAGATTTTTTAGTTTTCTGAAGCAAGTTTCTGGAATGTTGGAAAATTTGTCTCCGCTGCGGAGGTATGACTGTATACATTTAATTTTTCCAGACGGGAGTCTTGTGCACTAGGCTAGCTGTTTTTTTATAGGTTATAATGATATCCTTTCTTTTAAGTAGTTATGCCCAAGTACATGGATTCCGAAATTCCAAACGCCTGTTAACGAATTATTCATGTTGGGTGATTCACACAAATGTAACTTGCAGGGAAAATATATATATATATATATATATATATTTACAAATAGTTTATAAGTTTCTTTCAGTACACGTTTTCATGCGGGTCTACTCATAAGAGGTTGTCACATGCTTATATATTTGTATTAAATATCACATTTAAATAAAAAATGTATTTAGTAGATCTATGAAGCAAATGTTGTAACGTTTTTTATGCGTTTGAAAAAAAAAAAGAAAAAAAAAATATTTAGTGAATCCATGATAAATTAGTTGGTAACAAGACAGCTCCATCATTAAATGCCTGTTTAGCATAAAATTCAATACAATGTTAATCATTTTGTATATTATTCTGTGTGTTTAATATTAGTTGTCCATCTTTGGTATTAGAAAATTTTAAAAGGATATGCAATTAATGTATTTTTTTCTTTAAAAATTATCAATTTGTCCTTTTAATTTTGAAAAACTTTTTAAAATTTAGGGTCAATGATGGAAATATAGCACTTATTTTACTTTGACTTTTTAAATTAGACAATTAATTTGTGATACCCAAAAAAAAGAAAGACAAAATGAACTACAAATATAGGACAGTGGCAATTTTTTTATTTTTTTATTTTTTTTTATTTTTTTTAAGGGAAAAATGATATACTCTTTATTAAATTTTTTATAATAATTTAGCAGGGGTTGTTTGTTTCTGGGTCATAATGTCAAATGTATATATATACATTGAGCGTGAATTGAGACGTTGAATTATGAGCTATAGTTTCGGTCAATTTATTTTTATAAGGATCAAAGATGGGTACTACGTTTCAAAAAGGGTGTGTTCCACGTGGTATTGTCCTTGTTTCCCGAAACCCCCCCATGTAGTAAACGTTTGTCAATTCGTTCTGTCAAAAATAAATAAATAAAAAATCAGCAATTGATATTAAAATACTCCATATTCTTCTAGAGAATATAAAAAGAGGAGGGTTAATAATAGCTTTGTTTTGAAGCTTGTTAAAATATTAATGTAGAGAACACGGGAACAAGTTGATACGGCATGTTCGGTCCGAGTCAATTCAACAAACCAAGTGGGAACAAAGGTATATTCTTTTCTTTTGGTGATGGAGAATTTGAAAAATGAGCGCACCTACTACGATTAAAATTGATTGACTTGGGAGGATTCCAAATCAATGGAGTCATCAAAATGGTTTTTAAATCTCAATCAATTATTCGTAATCAAACTATATATATATATATATATATATATATATAAGAATAGCTGTTATAATTAGTCATGTAAACTAGGGGTGATTAGATAATTTTCATCCGATTAGATTTTAATGCAATAATTAAATTAAAAGTGAGTATAATTATGTTTGCCATTGAGAGTTGAACACTACTCTCTCTGTATATATATATATAATCTTAGCTCTCATTTCTCAAGCAGCAAATAAAGAAAAAAAAAAATTAATTATACATGTTCCGAATTCGGAGGATGGGGACGGGGTGTTGTGTGAGTGGACATGTGACTCACACTATATGATATAATGTGATGAAGTTCACACTCTCACTTACATATTCCCTATATGTCATTCTTCAAATTCGAAGGACGGATCATTACTAATAAATCAAAATTATACTTCGATGGTAAAAGTTAGGTTTAAGTTAGATGTAATTCAGTTAGTAAGCTAATATGTAAAATTGAATAGGTTCAAACCGTTCTTATTCAGTTCAAATTAGGCCGTTGATAGATTCGGTTTGGTTTCAAATTTTTATTCTATTTTATTTATTTATTTTTTTTTTTCTCTAAACATTAAGATTTGTTTTCTACATTAAGAGCATGTGAGTGGGGGTGTTACTTTGACAATGAAACTCACCTTGACATTATGTGGTGAGATTCATACCCTCACTCACATATTCTCTATCTGGCATCATTCGAATTCAAAAGATGTATAAAGGAAAGTTATGTTTAGATTGTAAAACTTATGTTTAAGTAAGATTTAAAATCGAACCAGTTCAAACTGTTCTTATTCGGTTCAAATTGGGGCGTTGATAGATTTGGTTTGGTTTTTTTCTTTCTTTTCTTTTCTAAACATTAAGATTTGTTGAGCAATAATGCATTTTCTAAATGAGTAGGATGTGAGTGGGGGGTGTGAGCTCGACCACATAACATCACTCTGACATCATATGGTGTGGGACTCACATATTTACTCACATAATTTTCATTCGTCGTCTTCGAATTCTAAAGATATATTATTGTTTGTAACTTTAACATGTCTAAACACTGGTCTAGCGTCCTCTCGCTGTTTAGCAGTTGAAATGATTATTTTGCCCTTTTATTTTACCATCTTTCCAAATAATGTTTATAAATTCCATTAAGGAGAACTTGTCATTTCAACTCTTAAAATTGAAAAGGTTAAGGGTCAATAAAGATATATTACTGCTTGTAACTTTAAGGTATTTAAACATTGGTCTAGCGTTCTCCCATTATTTAGCAGTTGAAATGATTGTTTTGTCCTTCTATTTTACCCATCTTTCCAAATAATTTTTGTAAATTTCATTTGAGAGAACTTGTCATTTCAACTCTTAAAATTGAAGAGGTTTAGTGTCAATTTCAACTCCGTTGTAAAACAGTTAAAACCATCTTGATTTATCTACCACCATTCAAATAGATATGAAATGAAGACTCAATGTTATTGACTTGGTTGAGATTTCGAAGGTGTTGTGTTTTTTGCCCACAATTAACTGTACCAGAAAGGTAGATTTTGCGGTCCAAGTCAATGTCACATGAAATGAACATGGATACTTCCTTGTGGGAGATATTTTGAGAGTCTAAAAAGGCTTGCTAGGGCCCACTTGACATTTTACCATCTAGGATTATGACCCATTCTGCCCGCCGAACCCATTGTTTGAACACCATGAATTTTTATTGAGCCCCACCCAAATAAATGTGTTACCGAGGGTAATATATATATATATATATATATATATATATATATATATTCTAAGTTTTTTTTTACTTTTTAGGGTGTGCTTGAAAAATTGAAAATTCTTTGAAATTAGTTTTTTTTTTTAACCTGACAAATACAAAGACAGAAATAAAAAATATGACTCAAGGATGTCAACACAAATTTCAGAGAGAGCAATATACTTAATAATATGACTCTTAAAAGGCTTCGCTACTGTATAGGCAACCTCGCTGCCATGTTAACAAACATTACTAAGACGGGATGAAGAGAAATTCCGAAGCCCTAACTTGATATCATAGGAAATTACTTGAATATCCATTGGTTCGAATCAATTTCAGACAATGCCTCGATAACTATTAAAGAATCACATTCAAATCATACCTTACCAAATTTGCAATTCAAAGCCTAAAGATTGGTTAAAAAAAGGTTAATTTATTATAAATTAGTTGATTGGTCAAATAGAATTATAAAGTTCCATGATGTTAGATTGAGACTGGTTCAAAAAGGTGGTCTTCAAAATTAATCATTAAATAAAAAAATTGTTATGTGAGACGATTAAACTATAATTGAATCGACTTGAAAAAAAATTTCTTAAATGGATAAATTAAAGTTAAGGTTCAATTTGGAGTTGGATCGAATTCTCAAATCGGATTAAAACGACATGCTGCTTGGCTTATTTACAAATGATTTTATAAAAAAATAGTAAATATAATTCAAGAAATAATAATAATTCATAAAGAGTGAATGTTGGACACGTTACATTAATTCATTTAACACGAAATACCTAGCTTGATAAGTTGGAGAGCATTTTTAATACAAAGTATTTCTTAGACAACTTTTTAAAGAAAATTACTCGAGATTGTTCATGAAATAAAATTCATGTTCAACTTCATTTTAAGGTATAAATTTTTTAATTGGATACGAGGGATATGTTACAAAACTCAATCAATCTTAATTATGGAATTCTGATGGGTTTGCGGTCTACGTTTGTCATATAAAGGTATAAAACTTATATATAACACTTCACATTTTTTAAATCATATGGGATCATGATACCCTGTAACCTGTCGGTGTGCTCACCCACTTCAGACCTACCCACAAAGTTCATCACAATCACCCCCATGGGGTCCATACAATCCAACGCGTTGTATAATGTTTCATATAAAATAATATTTTTATACTATCAAATTTGATCTATAATTTTATTTTTCTAAAATTTGATCTATAATTTCATTAATGGTAAAATATATCAAATTCATAACAGTATCAAAAGCACATTCTTCTATTTTATTTTATTTTGAATTCAAAATAGATTATGTTGGATTGCAGGGAATTGGGGTATTAGAATTAAAATGGGTTGAATTTGAGAAAATTTTGATTAAATTTTCTTAGTTTTTTTTTTTCAAATTTCACCAATTCCAATTCTAATTTCAAGAGTTCAATTTTATGCAACCGAACACACTCAATGGAATTGGAACCTTGATTGGAAATGAAATTGGTAAAATTGAAGAAAATTTTGATTTAATTTTCTCCAATTCCATGTCTACCAAACATAGCGTAAGTCATCTTTGATAGTATGAAATTGAAGTTTTAGAATTGGAGTCAGAAGTGTGGTCACGGGGATGTTGGGCCCCTAAAGGGGTGATTGTGACAACCTTATAAACAGGTGTTCGTGGGCGGGTGCGAGATGTTAACAGGTACCATGCGGAAAGCATACAAGTGCACAATCTCAAATCACCTAGGCAAGGTGAAGGTGAAATTCTTACATTTGCTACTGTTGTCTCCAAATTGTATGAAACCTCTTAGGATTTAACTCAAGAACAAAATCATGCGGTCTCGGATTCAAAGCATATATTATCATATCATGTAATTGAGTGTCTTTCAATTACAAATTAATTGATCTAAAAAAAATTCAACACACTAAAAACACAAGATTTAGAACCAATTGATCTTTGACAAACTCGGCGACATTCCTGAAAATGGTATTGTTTGGAATTTGAAAAATTAAATTGGTTGAACGTCGCGGCAGAAAAAATGAAATTTAAAGCTTCTAGAACATTCTTGAATATGTTGATGATGTAGAATAGGAAAATTATTTCTTAGAGGAAAAAAAAAAAAAAAAAAAAAAAAAAATGAGTGTTCCAGCGGATGAAGATTTTTCTTGGGTAGATGGCGGACTTTAAATTTAGAGAAATCTTTTATATTAATTTTTATAGTTAATTATTTATATTAATTTTATGATGAACTAATGATGTCATGGTTATTTAGCTAGTTAATTTCTTTCATGGTTATTGTAACATTGTCAATTTGCAGAAAATAAGAATTTATTTATTATTTATAAATTTTTATTTATTTATTTTGTTATTTGTTACATTTTTTAAAATTATTTTTACAAATATATGATACATAAAAAAATAAATAAGATGTGTAGAGCTGAATTTTAATACACAAAATGTATACATCTAAGTTACATAAAGTAGAAGCGAGAGTGAAAGCGACAAAATCATAAAGTAGAAGCGAGAGTGAAAGCGACAAAATTAAGTAAAAAATAATGAGAATTTGAGCGAGAGCTTACTCGGAATGTTAGAGCGAGAGCGCGCTCAAAGCGTGAGAGTTTCACCTATTGAGAAGAATTATGTGACTTAATACCTATACATTCATATTCGTTTTTTCATGTTTCTATTTCTATCTTTTTGCCAAATTTTTATAACCTATTTAAAAAAAAAAATAACAAATTATACAAGCACATTCCGGAATTCTTTTTGGTTATTATAGTTTTTTCATGTTTCCATTCCTATGTTTTTTAGCCAAATTTTTGCAACATGTTTAAAATAAATAAATAAAATCGAATTATACAAGTATATTCTGGTTACTATTAACGTCCATATATGTATATATTTCTATATATCTATAGTCTGTACTCCATTAATTCATCTCTTGTAGATCAAGAAAACCCTAAATCAACTAAAATTAAATTTAGAAACTATTAATTCTTATTTGTTCAGGAAATATCATTTCCTTATATTGGTAATTATTGGTATTACACCTTGATCCCCAAGAAAGAAAAAGAAAAATCCTTTCCTTATTTGTTATTATATAAACGACCTCTTAGGACCTTGAAAAAAGGTATCAAGCTCTCTATCTTAACATTCTCTCTCCTCTCTCTAAAAAATTTAGCCTTTGTTTGACATTGAAACCAGCTTTTTTTTTCCTCTCTCGATATCTCTGTTCCGTTTGTATCTGAGATCGATCGTGTAAGGAATCAATCGATCGGTCTTGCAATGGAGATGATGATGAACCTGTCCGCAGAGAAGAGGCCGAAGACGAAGATAGTTTGCACGCTCGGACCGGCCTCTAGGTCTGTGCCGATGGCCGAGAAGCTATTGAAGGCGGGGATGAACGTTGCCCGGTTCAATTTCTCTCATGGATCCCACGAATACCACCAGGAAACCCTAGACAACCTCAGAACCGCCATGGATAACACCGGCATAATCTGCGCCGTCATGCTCGATACCAAGGTCCCTTTTTGTTTATTTCTCGTTCAATACATGTATATTTATTCTTATATATCTATATATTTACCCGCATTTATTTTTATTTGTGTTAGTATTGATGATTGTGGATCTGGTTGATTGCTTTGTCTATGATCCGGATTAATGGGATCGATAGATCGGTGGATTGTCTCTGTAGAATTAATTTCCCTTTGTTTGTTTGTTTGTGGTTGGGTTTTTATATGCTGTGTTGGTCTTCTCTTTTGGGGGTTGGTTCTATTCGCATGCAGTATATGATCTGTACCTGATTTCATGTTCTGATGTTTCTCTCTCCATGTGGGGGGGTTTTTGTCTGTTTCGTTTGTCCTTCTTGAAATAGGATTATCAATCTTTTCTGGTTTATACTAACTCCTATCAGAGCAACAGAAATCCTCTCCGGTCACGATTTCCTACTGTGTGTGAATTTCCCAGCCCTCAATGGTGAATTTTGCTACTATAATGGTGAAATTTTACTGTAAAATTGCAAAATTAACCGTTGATGGCGGCGGTGAAATTCACCAATGGCAGGGAATGTAGGGAAATCGTTACTAGAGAGAATTCGGGTCGTAGAGCAACAAGGTTATGAGTAACAATTCTGCTACTTAAATAAGAATTATTTATTTATATATATGTATAATTTGTTGTTGGAGTGTATAGTTCATTAAAGAGAGGCCACATGTGAGAGCCAGTGTTAAATATTATTGTTTTGTCATCTCTCTAACATCTTAAGATTTTAGAGAAAGTACTGGTTCTCAATACTCGAACTGGTCAGAGAAAGTACTGGTTCTCAAAACTCGAACCGGTTAGAGAGTATGACTTCATTGTTTTCATCTTCTAATATGTACCCTTGCATGTGGCAGGCTGGTCCTGAGATTTTAAGTTCAGTAATTTACCTGCACTGATATATTAATAAACTTTTAAGAGGATGCAATTTAGTTGTTCATACCCTTATTTACATTAAATAAAAATTCTGGTAAACTTTTAGATGTGGAGTTTGAAGGATTAAGTTGCCATTTGTTTAGATTAATTGTTTCATTGTTGTTGTTGCGGTTACTTTCCTGTTGCTTTAAGTTGCCATTTGTTTAGATTAATTGTTTCATTGTTGTTGTTGCGGTTACTTTCCTGTTGCTTTAGGAGGGTGGGAGTAGCTACTCCCAGTACTTCAGGAGGCTTTTGTATTGTTTTCTTAATTTATTCACTTAAATCAGAAGAAAGGGAATAAAATTAATTAGTAATGGTTCTTCAAATTCAGAATATTTTCAGGCATGCTTTGTTCTTATTTGGAATGCTGTTGGGCATTTTGTTCCACCAAGCATTTGAATCTCATCATGAAACAAGGTTGTCAATGAAAGTGAGAAATAATGGTAGATTCTAATTTAAAATTTTGTGAAGACCATAATGATGCCACTTGACATGTATGAGAGAATGAGACTTCTTTTTGGGGGGTGTTCTTTTTTATGGGACATCCAGACATACTCTTGGTGTGTAATGCTCTCTGTGTTATGAAGACTCAACCAAGCTGGAAACTGGCTTAGTGATTGGGATGGGGCTTATAGCATCGACTCATTCTGTTTATTTGTTTTTCTCTTTTACTTTTATTCATTCATCACAAACTGTAGTTCTTTCTATCCATGACCTAAGCTGATTACCATGGCCATCTCATTTTGGAGAATTATAGAATGTTTTATTGGCAAAACATCAATTTATTTTTGGGAATTTGAATACTGTGGAATCTTTATTTGTAATATTACTTAACTGATTTTTTTTTTTTTGTATAAATATTTCCGAACTGAATATTTCCTAACTATTTGTTATTGGCAAAATATCACAGGGTCCAGAGATCAGAACTGGGTTCTTGAAAGATGGCAAGCCTGTGCAATTAAGACAGGGTGAAGAGATAACCATCTCCACTGATTATAGCATTAAGGGTGACGAAAAGATGATTTGCATGAGCTATAAAAAGTTGGCTGAGGATGTGAAGCCACAGAGTGTCATACTATGCTCTGATGGTACAATTTCGTTTACTGTTCTGTCTTGTGACAAAGAAAAGGGTTTGGTTCGATGCCGCTGTGAAAACACTGCAGTTCTTGGTGAAAGAAAGAATGTTAATCTCCCAGGGGTTGTTGTGGATCTCCCAACTTTGACCGAGAAAGACAAGGAAGATATAATGAAGTGGGGGGTTCCCAATAGGATTGACATGATCGCTTTGTCTTTTGTTCGCAAAGGTTCAGACCTGGTGGAGGTTCGGAAATTGCTGGGAGAGCACTCAAAGACTATCCTCCTCATGTCAAAGGTATGTTAGTTTATATGGGGAAAAACAATTTGGAAATTTGAAGACTGATTTTATTTATTTATTATAAGTTTTCAAGTCATGTATGCAGAAGAGACCTGGGAGTACAATGAATAGATTAAAGTTTAGTATCAAATTGAGTGGGATAAAAGAATTCCTATTAGGAAGTAAAAGTGAACCATATTATAGTTCTTTGGAATTATTGGGAAATTAATATAGAAAATAATATGAAATTTATTTGCAATATTGCTGACAAATCTGGGAATGTATAATTGGCTTTAAATAAGAATTTTGTTGAATTAAATTGGGTATTAAGTTTGATATCTGGTATTTTCTCCTTCAGGTTGAGAATCAAGAAGGTGTGGCAAATTTTGATGATATTCTTGCCAACTCAGATGCCTTTATGGTTGCACGAGGTGACCTGGGAATGGAAATTCCAATCGAAAAGATATTTTTGGCGCAGAAAGTCATGATTTACAAGTGCAACATCCAAGGAAAGCCAGTCGTCACAGCAACCCAGATGTTGGAGTCCATGATCAAGTCTCCAAGGCCAACTCGGGCAGAAGCCACTGATGTTGCCAATGCAGTTCTTGATGGCACAGACTGTGTGATGTTGAGCGGTGAAACAGCTGCTGGAGCTTATCCAGAATTTGCAGTCCAAACCATGGCGAAAATTTGTGTAGAAGCAGAAAGTACAATTGATTATGCTGATGTTTTCAAACGTATTACGGCAAATGCACCAGTGCCCATGAGTCCACTGGAGAGCCTTGCCTCTTCTGCAGTTAGAACTGCAAACTCAGCAAGAGCATCTCTCATACTTGTCCTAACCCGAGGAGGCAGCACTGCCAAACTGGTGGCTAAGTACAGGCCAGGCATGCCCATACTCTCAGTTGTCGTCCCTGAGATCAAAACTGACTCATTTGATTGGACTTGCAGTGATGAATCCCCAGCAAGGCATAGCCTTATTTTTAGGGGGTTGGTTCCAGTTCTGTCTGCAGGATCTGCCAGGGCTTCCCACGCCGAGTCCACAGAGGAAGCGCTCGAGTTTGCTTTGCAGCATGCCAAGACCAAAGGACTCTGCAAGGTGGGAGATTCCGTTGTGGCCTTGCACCGTGTCGGAACAGCTTCAGTAATCAAGATTGTGACTGTGAAGTAAAGTGAAATGGTTTAGATTCCAGAAGGATGGAAAGATGAGTGCTCAAATTTTGTTTACGTTTTTTGTGGATGAGAAACATCAATCATTATTAATCTGGTCTTCTGATATTTGGGTTATCAACTCTTTAAATGCTACTAGAGCACAATTTTTTTGTCTAATGATAGAGACCTCTTATTATTGTTGTGACTATAAAGGTCTATTTCTCTATACTATTTGTGTTTGTGACTATAAAACTCTCTCTACACTATTACTATGACTTCGATTCAATAACAATATTGCTGTGTTCAGTAGCCACTAAGATTAGTTCTAATTCAAAGCATGAATTAGGAAATAATCTTGGAATTAAAATTTGAATTGAACAATTCCAAGGCATCATCAAGTCTATCTTACTAAGGATAAATCTTGCAGGGCATTAGAACCTCGGCCAGTGAATATAATTTTGAAAGCAAATCTATATATATATATATATATATATCATCACTCTTGCCCAGAACAATCACTAGTGCAGGCTTTGAATGCTAGGATGAATGTGAGGAAGCTTCAATATCTCCATATAATTTTCAATAATATCTTGATTTATGACCAAGGAATTTTCGTGTTTGTTTGATATCGTTTTCTGGAAACTGTTCTGGTTTCTGGTGTTTGATATCGTTTTCTGGAAACTATTCTGGTTTCTGGATAAAAGGTGATAGAAAGAACATAGTTGGTGAAGCAGTTTTTGAAAAGTTTCTCAAAATTGTATGGGACTGTTTTCACCAGAATGGGACTGTTTTCACCAGAATGGGACTGTTTTCACCAAAAAACACAATAATTTTTAACATTATAAAGAATTGATATTAAACTGACAATAGCTAAATGATCCAAGGAATCCGGATGCTTCCCGTGCCATTTCATCGTTTATGCAATAAATACGTTGTTGACACAAATAAAAAAACCAATCAACAATTTCAAATAACACATGAATCTATACGCAAATTTTAAACTGAAAATTCTTACTGAACCAGTTAAATCCCTAGGATGCATGAATTAACCTGCAAACCATGAGACCATTTTGTCCCAAATATGCTTATATCATAAAACACCGAGTATCAACTATGCAAATCAAACTCTAATACCCTCAAATCCAACCATGTCTTGCATGTGAAGGAGCTTTCTCGACGATCCCTCTCACCAATGAGGAAAGAACGAAATGTTCCCTTTCACCAATGAAGAAAGAAAGAGAAATGGGATTGCCGGTGGATTAGTTGAGTGAGAAATGGGATTGGCAATGGATTAGTTGAGTAGGAAATACACCGGCGAGGAGATGGGAATAGTACGTGGTGAAAAGACGTGTACATGGTTTTGGTATTAGTACGTGGTGAAAAGACGTGTAATATCTTTACGAATCATAATATAATCTCTTCTCATCTAATCCATGGATGTAGCCTGAATTTGGGTGAACCATGAATTTCTTGTATTTGTGTGTGATTGCTTTGTTGGCTTTCAATGGATCATGGTGTTGTATGATCTCTTCTCATCTCATCCATGGATGTAGCATGAATTTGGGTGAACCATGTATTGTTGTGATTGCTTTGTTGGCTTTCAATGGATCATGGTGCTGGATAATCCGACTTTGCAGCGCGGTCAAGCAGATCGAACAAACAAAACAAGGCATAGAACCGTAAACTGCATAGGTGGAGATTATAACCAGGACAATCCAGAATCAAAACTTGTCAAGACTACTAATTGTTCCAAATTCAGCTGTGCCATGGAGAGGACTGAAAAATGCATGTCGAGCTCTAAAAAAGCTATCACATAAATCCATGCCTTGAACATGTGATGCCCAATTCTTTGAGTCAATTCAGCACCATTTAAACATATGCATGATTATAGATCCTGCAAATAGCTATCAGATAGAGTCCTTGTGAGTCAGTCTAGCAAAATCATAAATTTAGACCTGAAAATAAAAAAACATGAAATCCAACATAAAAGAAAATCCCAGAAGGAAAATTATTATACAAAATAAAAGGGAGGTAGAAGTAGGAGTAATTCTTCTAACAAGAAAATGTATCCCCCATATTAAGTATGAACATGGGATAACGATAACACAACTTGTTCTTGCAAGATTATGATTCAGCAAGTGAAACACTTTATGTACAGAAGTGATGCAAGAGAACATCCAAGCATTATAGAGCACAAGTAGCTGATAATTAAACAAATGAAACCAAACTCAATTCTCATCGGTATGCGAAGAACTTCCGGGTGCATTTGTTGACGGTGCTGATGAAGATGAAGGCACCGTTGAAGAGGAATTCTCACTTCCTGAGGAAGAAAACAAACTACTAAAAGGCCATGGTAACGGCACCGGAAACCATCTACCATTCCCATTCCTCCCATCCCCGTCTCCTTCTTCAACACCAACACCGATTGGGTCATTGTTGTTACTCTCCCCACCATTGTTACTACTATTCCTGGACACATCCGAGTGGAGCTTGGATTCATCAGAAGGTAACTGATGCCTGCAAACCGGACATGAACTGTGAAGCTCCAGCCACGGCAGAATACACCCACTGTGGAATTTATGCTTACACGGCATCTCCTTCGCCTCAGTACCAACTTCAAAATCATCTAAACAAACTGAACACTGTAAATTCTCCTCAATTTTCACAGTGGGCAGTGCTTCGACTGCCTCTTTCTGTGCTGGCGGAGTTCCATACCTGTTTGGATCATTCTCTGCCAAATGTTGCAGCAACAAATCTAAACCAGGACCTATAAAATAGTCGCCCAACGACCCAATAGGATCTCGATTCTGGTTTTGGGACTGATTCGAATCATATGAACCTTGAACAATGATAGTCTGATTGAAAGGATTAATTACAATCACTCGCTCTCTGTCCCTGTTCTCCCTATTATTCCTCTCCCCATTGTTCCTCTCTCCATTGTTCCTCTCCCCATCACCGTCAGTATTCTCTGATTCAGACAGCATTCCAGCTCGAATCCCTTGCAGGAGCTGGAGAATAGTGGCTGAGCTTCTTCTCCTTCTCCTGATGATTGATTCAAGTTCGCGGTCTAGTTCAGTCTCTCCCTCACGGTGGCGATTGTTGTCATTGTCATCGTCGTCCTCGGCATCATCATCAAATTCTAGACGCCTGAGTCTTCGCCTGCGACGAGGATTGCTCATCATACCGAGCAAGATAGGGGCCCAAAGGGAGAGGGCTCTGTCAGAATTGGATCCTCCAAGGTCAGGGTGATCTCTTCTGGAGGGGCTGCTGTCCATTTCTTCGACAAACCCGCTCTCACATATGGGGCACTTGACCGCCTCAATTTCCATTATGGGGTTCACAATCTGAGAGCACATGTGACACCAGTACCTCGACACCCCCTCAGTTTCCTCCATTGTTTCTCTGTCCTTTCAACCCTTCCCCCTTTGTTCTGTCACAACAAACAATTCTAATTCAACATCAATAACAAAACAATTTTACTAACAGCCTCCGGATACGAAATTACAATTCATCAGAAAGAATTTATCTATTTTTTTAGCAAATTTACTAATTCATCATCAATACACATCCTCGAGAAATATATATTTTTCTTTTTTTTTGGGGGGGGGGGGGGGGGGCCAAATTTACCAATTCATCATCAACAGCAAACAAATTAACAAACACAACAGTCTCTAGCCAAGAATCAAGCAATTTTTGGGTGGTAAATTTACACAGATCTAAATAAACAATCGTTTTCATCCGTCCTCCCCGACCATCAACACAGAAACAAGAGAACAAATAAAATTTTGAAATTGTTTATTGATTGGGAAACAAGAACAAACAGGTTAGGAATTTATGAATCCTTCATATATACATATAAAGGAAACAAAGTTGAAACATACCGATTAAGTCTGCAGGAAACTTAGATCTTAACTAAAATAAAGAAAATTGTCCAGGAACAGGAATATAGGTTTAAAATGAGAGTATATTCTAATTTTTTTTCCCAATTGATGGATCAAACATCAATATACATATACATACAGATATTATAGATCCAGACCAGAATAAAATTCTAAACAAATTGCAGCTAAAAAAACACACAAACAAACTATGTTCACTATGTTTACCTGAACAGCTCTACAATTTGGAAAATCAAATAAGCCAACAATCTCAGAACCCAAAAAAAAAAAAAAAAATTTGAAGCCCACAAAATTGCAGATCCAAACACACAGAATGAATTGAAATTTTCGCGGAACACAAATATATGCGTGAGTATATATAATATATATATGTGTGTGTATTTTTGTACAATATATAGGTAGGTGAGGAGGAGAAATAGAAGGGTGAGCAATCAATCAATAGAAGAGTCTGGAAGGTTGCAAAGAGATGTCAATTTTTACATAACAATTAAAAAACAAGAATGATAGAACAATTAAGAAACGTAAATTGATCAAACTCATATGATTCAAAATTCAAACCGTATACCAAGAATTGGAAGTCAGAAAAAAATTACCACCACTCTCTCGCAGGATGGGAAGATTCTGTTCCAGATTTTAGAGAGAGAAAGTAGTTTTGGAAAAATATTCTGTGGGTTTGTGTTTTTAGGGGTTGGGTCTGGTTCCCTCATCCCCTCATCTCATTTGTGAGCACATCACAAAATAATAGTAATTCCTTAATATATATATATATATATAATTATTTATATATAATACTAATAATGTATCATTTTTTATACATATTTTATAAATGCACTTTTTTATAAATAAATAAAAAATTAATGACATAAATGCTTCTTATATTTGATTTTTCACAATTGAATGGAGGACAATAATGTCATTTCACATAATTTTATTATAATAAAAGTGTCCCATCTTCTAAATTTAGAGAATAAAAACCAAAAAAGTTTGAATATAGAGGGAAGTTTCTGAGAAAGAAGGTGGGACAACCAAATACGCGTTATCCTCCTTTTTCTTTGCTTCCTCTCCTCTATATTCTCCAACATGCACATGGATTTGTACTGTATTTGTTATATACTACGTATAAACATATAAGGAGGTACAATTCATTGAAGTTGAATTATTTTTTTATTTTTTATTTTTAAATTGTGGACAAAAATTGAGACTCACGTCTAATTATTTAAAAACTAAATAGTCATCAAATTTTGTTTAAAGTGTCACACAAATGAATCAATCTTTTAAGCTCTCTTTTTCTTGATTTGATTTAATTTAATTTGACAAAATAATTCTAGTTAATATAATTTTTGTGTGAGCAAAGCTATAAAACGAGTACTTAAAAGAGTTACGAGCCCCTCTTACCATTGAGTCCAGAAATTTATTTGATTTCTTACTAATGTCAAAAATGGTCTCGATATAATAGTTATTATAAATTTTAAGTTGGGTTCCGTAGGTAGAAATGAAGTAAAAAAAAAATTAGATTCTTTCTAAATTTTCATCGGTTCAAAAAGAAATCACTGTTATAGAAGTTTTAAATTAAATATTATCTTAAATTAAACAAGGAAAAAAAAATTTTATCTTCTTTGAGGTTTGTCAATATTTCATATAAATCATTTATTGTTTTATAATTCCACTTATCTCTCATGTAATGACGGTCATCTAACTTGATAATGATAATACGTTATTTTACCGTTTTGATCATAAAATATTTGCGGTCATTTTAGGCATTAAAACGGCAAACTAACCTTCTATCCATTTTTTGCTGACATCCAGGGGGAGCTAGAAGGGGGCAAAGTACCAATAAAAAACATAAAAATAAAAAAAAATTTAGAAGTAGAAGGAGGAAAACAAAAATGACAGAATTTTGAAAGAAATGAATTAGAGTATGATTAAATAAGGAAAATCTGACTTTTCCAAAAGGAAATTAAAGAAATTTAAAGAGTAAATGAGGAGGGGAAAAAAAAAAAAAAAAAAGGTTAAAGAGAATTTTGGGAACTTAATTTTTTTTTAGGGGCATAATATACAAATTTCTATATATATATAAATAATTTTAAAATTTCTTATATATTATATAGGGTATGTCCATGCCAGGGGGCATGTACCCCACTAGGCATATGCTGGCTCCATTCCTACTGACATCAACATATTATCTCCATCAAATGCCCTTAAAAAAAAAAAAAAAAGAAAGAAGGTCTGTTACATAAATCACAACCTCACAAGAGGTAAATAAGATTATGAAATTAAGATGAGTCCACGTAGAATATTAACAAACTTTAAAGGAGGTAAGTTGCATTTATCCTTACAATATTTTGAGTTAGATTTTTACAATCAAACCATGTGTAACATGGTAATGCAACTTTTTTCCCTTAAAAAATTAATGCACGCACACACCCAACCACCCACAATATCATTCCTATCAAAATCGAACACTTCCATCTCCATAGGGATCATACTATTAGTGTTCAATAAAGACTCTTTTTATTATTATAAAAAATATATAATTTATTTCTTCTACAAGCTTTTAACTCAATAATTTTGTAACATTATTTCCATTAAATAAAGATTCAGATAAGAGGAATTCCAAAATTTGTTTGTTTTTTAGAGAACAAAAGAAAAAGAAAAAGAAAAAGAAAAAGCAAAACGAGGCAAGTGAGAGAGAGAGAAAGAGAGAGAGATTAGTGGATCAAGTGAAGTGTTGACCATCTTTACTTTGGGACAGGATTCTATAGGTCCTAACTTTGCCACGTCAGCACATATTGATTGCCATTATCTCTCTCTCTCTCACCCTTTTACACCCACATGGCACACATATATACCATTGTTTTGGTTAAATAAATAAAAACCCTGAAATTAAATTAAATTTTTCTGGCTATGTATGGTTGTCATATGTGGTGGTGGGGACACAGCTTTTGGAGAGAGAAATCATTAATGGTGTTTGTTGTCAATTACTTGTCATTTTCAATCACCAAAATGAAGGAGAATATTGTAAATTGGCATTTTATTTTTCTTTATAAATTGACAAATAACCCAACATACTTTTGTAAAAATCCACAAATTATCTTCTTGTGGATCAAATTACTCTTGGACAAAATATAAGGGATCCATTTTTGGAACTTGAATAAAAGAAAATGGGTCAAATTATTTCAACATTACATTTAGAATAATATTTAAATATGGTTTTTTTTTTTTTTTTTTGGTTTCACAATAAAGGACAATTATGTAATTTTGTTACTATTTTTTAACATTTAAATAACAAAAAATGAGTTATTTCCAATTCTATTATAGTTGAAAGATTTTTTTTTTTTTTTTTTTGAAGTTTTGGGAGTTTTTCACAAATGCAAAATAATGTAATAATTTTTTATTTTCTTCATACATTGTCTTTCACAGAATAATTTTTTTACATGACCATCATTTAGATTACATTATATTCTCAATCACAATAAAGAAAATGGGTAAATTGCACCACTCTATTTAACAATGAAAATGGCGGAGAGTCCATGATTTTTTTTACACTGAAATCATATGAAAATACCTTTTAACCCTCTGACTTTTCAATAACTCTATTTAACTCATAAAATTATAAATTTAACCTCCTAATTAAATTTAATGGACCAAATTAACATCTTCATCTCTTATATATATAGATATAGGTTATGTATAACAATACTTATACCACAACATAAAAATAAAAATTAATATATATTTAAAAGCCAAATTAGTACACTACTATTAACCACCACCACCGTAGAAAAAAAAAAATTGAAAATAATCATGATCAATCCACACTTATAACGTAGTAAGAAAAAGGGGAATGAGAGAGATCGGGAAGAGCAAAAGGGAGTGTCGGTGGCTAGGTACTAAAATGAATTAAAAAAAGAAGAAGTTAGATTAGGGTAGAAAAATATGCTTAATGATAATGGTAGTTTCATCAATTAGCAGGACTGATATTTTATAAATTAATTAAATTAAGTAATTAGGGATAAATATGATATTTGAAACCACAAGTGGTGTCATTGTTAAAAAGGTCGTTGACTCGCATTTGAAAAACATTAATCAAAATCTCGGAAATGTCAATGCAATTTACTAAAAGAAAATTATAGTAAAATAAGTTTGGTAAATGGATTTTTCAATTGACTTGTGTATCGCAAAAAAAAAAATTGACTTGTGCAGCCGCTTGTGCTAATTTTTTTGAAAAACGATCAATAAAAAATAAAATTAAAAATGATTCTGAAATATTTTAGATTAATTTTTTTTTATTCTGACAAATTAAAAAAAAAAAAAAGACAAGTCGTACTATTTTAGATATTTCACCAACTAATTTTACAGCCAATAATATTATATACCCATTGATGCTTTGAATTGACTTGTGAAGAGTACTCTGCTGCTTTGTTCCACTTAATATATTGTGCAGTTCATCTTTCTCTTTCCTCTATTATAATATTGTCTTTCAACATGAACATTATGAAAATGTATGAAAATGTGAACTGGACAAAATTCAATTTTCTTTTTAATTTATGCAATAGATTTGAATAATTTATGCGTGGTAAATGAGAAATTATTATATAACTTGATATATAAGTAAAAATATAAATAAAATTAAAATATTTATATTAGTGTTGAATTGTGATTGGCCAAGATTAGGCTGGCAATATTTGACACGACATGCTAACACAACATGAGATAAGGGATTTTGGGTCGACACAGATTGACTCACTAACGAAACGTGTAAACGTGTTCGTATAAAAAATGACCTATTTAATTAAACCTGTAAAATAAACATGTCGTATTCGTGTAAAAAATAATTTAAACATGTCTTTTCGTGTTATGTCAATTCTTGTCTAATTTATTAAACAGGTTATATGTTTCGTGTCATGTTACGCGTGTAATAATGGTATCATATTCGTATTAAGGGTCTTAGACATGATTAAACGTGTCTTTTCGTGTTATATTCGTATCAATCATAATCGTATTTGTGTCGTAATCATATCGACATGGACATGACACGGCAATACGCAATATCACCCCTAACCGAGATCATCAAACCCAAAATTCAATCATTCGCAGGCCTGCCTTTACCAACAATTTCATGGCAATAATGATATTAGATGCATGTTTGGTTGGGCCATTAAGGAGGAAAGGGGGAGACAAAAGTACAAAAAGGAAAGTACAAAAAGGAAAGGGCATATATTTTCCACTGACTGGTTGTTGAGAGAGAGCCAGAGAAAAGAAAGAAGCAAAAAGCTACCTAATTTTCTTGGGGAGAAAAATGTATTCCCAACTATTTGAAAGTTCTTGTTATTTAAGTTGGATCTTTTACTACATTCAAACACCTCTCAATACTCATTTCGTTTCGTTTTTATTTACTTTCAAAATGAATTTTTATTTTATTTATTTGATGATAGTAGTGTCAGACATTTTAGAACATTTCCTAATTCGTCACTAGATACATATAATCTCTCTGTTTCACATGCACCAAGGAATTACCGAAAAATTTTCATCATCCAATTTTTCAAGTCTTTTTCTTCCCATTATTAAAAAACACAATTAAAAATAATAAATTTTCCCTTTTACTTATGTTCCGTTCAACACGAAAGAAGAAAATTAGATAAAAGTGAGAAAAGAATGAATGAATAAATCATCTTTAGAGAATAAACTGTATCGTTCCTTTTTTCTTTTTTTGTCCTTTAAATGGAAGAGAAGAGAATAAACTGACTACTTACTTTGTTCGAGAGAAGGAAAAAAAAATTTTAAATTATTTTTACTATTAAACTCATATTTAGAGTTATATAATATTTATAAAAAATAATATTTATAAAAAATAATATTATATTTTAAAACTTTTATAATAGTTGTACTTATCTTTCTTTCTTTATTTTGTATATTGGAAGAGATAAAAATGATTAAAGATGTCTAGGCTCATTCATCCTTTTATCATTTTTCTTCTTATCTCCGATCTAGAACAAAAAAAAAATTGTTATCTTTCCTATCTTCCCTCCCGACACGAACGTATTAATAATTCCAGTGGACCAAAATATGTTTTTTTAAAAGTATTATACCATACACATTTTGAGATATATATCAATAAAATCTCACTATTGTCCCACTGAAATTATTTAAAAAATTCACTTTTATTTTCTGGTCTGCTTTCCTCCCTCCCTCTTTCTTCCTTTGAACAAGGATATAATAATCAGAGACCAATTATTTTTCTAACTTGAAAAGTTGATCAACTTAGAAACTAACGATTGACCAACAATTTTTATCTACGAAGTGTTCTTGTTGCGAAAAGGACAAAAATATCCATATACCAGAGACTTGTTCTCGTTAGACACTGTTTATTATAATTCCCAAAAAACCAATTTCTTAACATTTTCTTAATTGAGTTTTTTTTTAAATGTATTTTAGGCTGAGTTAGAACAAATTTTTTCACCGAACGCCTTGGATTCGTCACATATGCAAATTTTTTTAAAAAATAAGAACCTCACTTTTTTATATTTATTGTATCTATCCAATCAATAACATTGGACCAAAAAAAATTATTTAACTCATCGGTTTATGTAACACTGCTCATATATTTTTTTTAAGCTGGCATCGTTAGCATTAATCATCTCAAAAATATAAAAATATCACCGACCCATCTTAAGTTTCTCATCGAATCTAATGGCACCACTAAGGATTAAAATTTTTAAAAAAAAATATCTAATAAAAAACTCTCTCTCTCTCTCTCTCTCTCCCTCCAAACGAATTCTCTTTCACCATCATAATTTTGTTTGATTGGATTAAAAAACTGAACACAAAAATTTTAGTACCAAATTAGAAGTCCTAAAGGCTTTAAACATTGTGGCCAGGGAAGGATGGTGATGACAGACTTTACACATTAAACGAAGTGTAAGTTCATTAATTCAAATCAATTTTTTTTTTTTTTTTAAAAAAAAAAAATGATAAAAACTCAAAATCGATATTATTATTGACTAACTGTTCATTGTTGATTTGATCATTCTTAAACTATTTCCTATACCTATACATTCTCAGCCATTGGATGATTTAACCTGCATATATTTGGAATCCAAGGGGATCTCATGTCAAACCATCCAATGGTGCTAAAACTTTCGGCTCTGACACGTGTTTCGGTCAGAATAACACGGTCCATTTTAAAATACCAAAGCCTGCAGTTCAGTAATATCTCCCCAAAAGTACTGTAAAATCAAAATCATTTCACTTGTGCATTTATAATAACCTGACTTACAGTATAGAGCCTAAATTTTTGATGTCTAATATTACCATTATAATTGCAAAAAAAAAAATGAATATGCTTTCCCAACAGTGGAGCAGACACATTTCTTCCTAGTAATAACCATTTCCCTCTCCCATGAAATATTTCTGGTGGCTGGAAGTCTTCAGGCACTAACATTAAGGACTTGATGACACTTCTTACCCTGCCTGAAGTCTGCCTGATGAGTTTGTCAAAACCTACAGAAACATCTGCAGAGGCTTAGTACACAATACCTACCACCACCCTCGGCCTCGCCGTTGTCTGAATTACTATGAAATTAATATTATTTGTAAAATGACAATTTTTCCCTTCCACCTGACATTAATACAAGATCAAGCATCAAAATCTACGTCTCCAACAAACAAAACCAGATTTCAATCACCCCCCTCTCCCCTATACTATTTATATGTATGTAATCTAATCTGATTAGCAAACTCTGTATGCTCCAGCCACCACCTCCAAACTTTGTGCCTCGAAGCCCTCACCAAATTCCAACAAAAGAATGAACTCCATTCCCCTTTCGCCATTTTCTCAGTAGCTAATCCACTAATGAATGGTAGTTACCGAGCTTCAATGAATTTGGTAATGCAGAAAAGAGAACCTAGAGGCTTTTATCAACGTTTAGCTACTGAGAAAACGGCAATTGAAACACTGATAGGAAGTGTTTCTCTAGATTTTCACAAACTTACCATCTACCTGTAATTTAAGCAAACCTCATTGGGTGTCAATCTAAATTTACATTTTTTGGGGAAAAGACCTAGAGCAATTTTCACAAACGGATTCTCCCCTCATTTTCCTTCTTCTTCTTTTCCTTCCCCTCACATTTCCTAGAAGCCCAAGTGAGCATAAGAGTCAAATTGCCTAATAAGCAACACCACATCAGGTTATTGTTATGCTTCTAGTAAATGTCTAGTAAAAGATCCTCCCAGGGGTCTGCCATGCTTGCTTATTTCAAGTTTTGAGATTGCATGTGTGTGTGTGTGTGTGTGTGTGTGTGAGAACATCATGAGCATCCTTCTCGAGGAAACGAACGCTCGGTCATGACACAGGAAGTTCTTGATTCCATGTATCTAGTCAGTATACAAGGTTCTCATGTTTCTTTAATTTAATGCATTTCCATTAACTGTTACAAAACTGGATTCAGACATTCGAATAACATATCAAATCTACTTTGCATTGCAAAAAGTTTACCAATCATCTTTTTTTTTGGCCCAAAAAGAACAAACTAACCTGGGATCTAGAACCAGGATGGCCTTGCCAATTCATACTAAATCCAACCCAGCTAATCATAACCAATTATGAACCAAACTGCTCTGATTGCTTGCAGGTAACATGCCAATGCAATGGCATATCCAAGAAAGTGCAACCATCTCCTAACTGACCTGCATGTTAGGCAGAAATCCGATCCATATCTTTGATAGGCCTAGCCAGCAAAATATCCTTGCAACTGCCACATTACCAGACTGAGATAACGCCATCACATATAGTGAATCCCTAAAGGTATAACAAGATGCACTTCTCTTTTTCACTCTGATATCAGCATCTTTTATCCTGGAAAGAATGCTATAAATGTATAACTGTACAAAGCTCGTTCCCATACACAACCCATCCAAATTGAGTAAAGATATGATCCTCCAGACAAAAAGATGGGGGAGCAGATTGAACCAAAAAGACTTCACAGATGATGTACTCCCTTCAAACGCTCTGGTGCTCACCCACTGAATTGCTATCCTGCAAGTACGGAAAATTCCTTTTTGGGTGAGTATCCTTTTAGTTTGGAAACCAGTCAAAAGAACTAATGATAATTGAAAAGGTAAAACAATCTGAGCAAGCTACTAGCATTAGTAATCTAATGAAAGCTTCATATACATTGGACATATTTTCACTGACACTTGATTTACACCATTTAAGCACGTAAAGCTCTGAAACCAAAATTTGGATACACATATATTAATTATAAATTTGACAGTTGGCAATAATAAATCGAACCCTTGACAACCCTGCCTCACATTGGATGCTTTGCGAGCAAGTTTACCATTGTGCTACAACGGCTCATGTACTAGTCAACCAGTACATCTGCACTATATTTCACATATAACAAATTGGTGAGTTGGCATTGGTAATGAGCATACCATCACTAATTGGTCAATTGAAATGTACCACGTGTACATAATACAAGTCAAGGGGAAGAGGGAAAGTGGGGAAATAATCTGATACAGAAGCAGCAAGAGAGCAAAGCAAGCGAAAGGAAAGCCATGAGCAGGCTTCTCAGACCTGATTGAATAAAAAGACTTTGGCACGTGTTTTTTCATGGAAAAAGGAGCAATCCACAAAATAGCACACTATTAGCGTGCAATTAAGCTAAATTTGGTTCTGCATACAAGAAGGGTCACTAAGAAAACTGACCACTGGATAGAACCAAAAGTTCCAACCAACATCATTAACCCAACATGAAATAAGAACAGCATGGGTAATGATAAGAGAATAAAACTTACCTCAAATTTGCAGAAATTTTAAAAGGAAATGTGACCACTAGTAAATGAGGATTGTAATTGAAGTATGGCAAAATTAAGTTACACTTATGTCCCTTCAGGGAATTCCTTCCCTTATCTTACATCAACATGATCCTACAGAAGAAGAAAAAACTCAGCGGCCATGACTATTCCATATTGGAATCTATTTTAACTAGCTAGTCCAAAAAGTTTGTCTGTCTGTACAGTGCTTCCTCAGTTGTGTCCTTTTGCACTCCATATAAAGATGGATAATCTCCAGTAGCGTCCATCTAGATTTCAGGGCATCACAATCAACAAAAAGAAAAAATGCACAAGATTCATTTGGCACAGCATACGCTCGTAAAGGTGCTTCACAGAAAAGGAAATTTGTTGGATAACATGCTTAGAATTGCTATTGGGAATGTAACGTAGGAGAGCTTCAGGAAACTTAAAAAGATGCTACCTAACCAATTGTATGGTGTGTTGAAGGAGAAAATGTTGTGGTACCAGGTTTTAAGGGGTAGAAGAAAGGTGCAGTGTTTGGAGATAAAAGAGGTTGTTAGTCTTTTTGGGTATGGAGAAGATGTTAGTTACACTGATTTACAAGGCAATAGGACAATGGAAATTTCTGGACAGCAACTAAATATTAAATAAGGTGTCTGGGCTTTAAATTGAAGGCTAAAGGAAGGGCAAAGGGGTTGGTATTGATTAGAGCTAAATAGGGTAGGATTTGGTGATGAAATAGGGGCTGTTCTAGAGCTGTAGACAGTAACCTGCAAACAGTGATTTGAAGAGGAGAAGAAAAGGAGAAAAATAGTGATTTAGAAATCACACAAAAAAAATCCTTTAGAATCTCCTCCTATGGTAAGGTCGTGTCGCTGCGAAGAAAACTAAAATCACAAAAACACAACTCCGATGAATTAAAAATATTAGGCTGCTTAAAGTCAACTCCCTCAACCCCGATGAATTAAAAGATTAGGCTGCTGAAAGGAACTAGGAGCCTTGAACTACCATGGACACTTTTGCTTTGGGAAAACTGTCTTATTTAGTGGTGTGAGACCCAAAGTCTCAGTTTTAGGCTTCCAGAATGAATATGCCTTCTCAAACCAAATATTTTGAGTATTAACTGTTACTAATTTGAACTACTACAATTTTCAAAGGAATATTCCAATATTCTTTCTGTCATCTATTTGATTTCCAAAGGTGTTACACTAGTGCTCACTAATAGCTTCCTTAAATAGCAAGAACTTTGTGTCACATGGGAAAATTAATTATCATCAGTTAAATTTGATTTCGGTTGCACCTTCCAACTCCCACCTTCCTTAAATGCAATTCCTACAAAATCAATTCCATAGAAAGGGTATTTCAAAATTAACATCGACCAACCAAGTCCTGAACCCAGATTCTTTCACCACATGGCACGTGTAACGGGCAGACACTTGCCCTCTGACCCAAAAGCTTAAGTTGTTGGATAGTACTGCATACTCACCCATATATGCCCCAAGTCCTGAACCCAGATTCTTTCACCACATGGCACGTGTAACGGGCAGACACTTGCCCTCTGACCCAAAAGCTTAAGTTGTTGGATAGTACTGCATACTCACCCATATATGCCCAAGTCCTTCTCATCCAGCAAAGTCCAAAAGATATGGCAAAGACCTGTGTGCGGGGGAGGTTAGCAAGCGCGGGCTCAAGCAGCACCAAGGACATGGGTCTTTTGTATCCAAAAGGGATTGGAACGAAGGGCAGGGAGTGCCCACAAAATCCCTTCTAGCCGCTATCTTGGGGATCCAATGTGGGGCAAACCCCCTCTAACATTCTCCCCCACCTAAACTCACAACACCCTCGTTGTGGTCGGACCACCCTGCCTACAGGTCCCCCCTAACATCATAACAACGGGAAGACTCAGTAACAATCTAGACTCCACCCAAGTGGGCACTTGCATTACACCAGATCAAGGACTAGGTCAGAAAAAAAAACACTTGTAATGGGTCGGACACTTGCCCTCTGACCCAAAAACCTAAGTTGTTGGGTAGGTGCTGCATGTCCCTTAAATATGCCCAATTCCTTCCCCATTCAGATCTGATGTGGAACAAGCCCCTTCTAACATAAGGGTGCCCCATCAAGATGCAAAAAAAAATACATGAATAGTCACTCAAGCATCAAAATGCATGTTGATATTTGTACGACAGAAAAGCCATGTTCTTTTATCCAAGGGAACTTCAAAATAACCGGCCATTTGACCCTTATGTTTAAATAGAGTTACATTTGGCATGAGATTCTTGTGCAGAAACACAAAATACTTATTTCATAATCCTTAGGACTGCCACTATAATTACGAGTTCATAGAGATAAAAAGATAACATTAGCATCTTATAACCTGAAAAGATCCGCCAATGGACAGCTTCAGCTGAGAGGCTTCAGAAATAGATGATCCACCCTTGCCAATTCCCTGATTGCGATCCTAAAAACAGATAGAAATACTGTAGTGAAATAGATATAGAGAAACGTATAAATAAATATGGATATAATTATATGTGTGTGTGCATGCATGTATAGAATATAGATATAGAAGTTTGAAAAAGAATCAAGACGTGCACGCCCACACACACACACACAAAGAGAACATGTTGAATAATAAACTACCTAATTTCAATTATTTACATCAAAGCAGAAGATAGCTTTAGATACAAATTACAATCATACACAATTTGATAATTACAGAGTATAAGATGAAGACTGCAAAAACATATACAGCATGGAAGATGGGTATGTGATCCTAAAAGGGTAAAACTGATCAGGGAGAGCCCAATAACAAAGGTTCACTGTTAAGCTGACTGAACTCCTTTCACACACCCTAAATAAAAATTAAACTAATACATGATGGACCATACAAGGAAATTATAATTGCATGGCTAAATCTTCATTTGCCAAAGAACAACATTAGCTTAGTTTCCTTCTTAATTCCATTCTTTTAGAATTTGTGTGGGTAACTCATGTATAAAGTTGTTAGGGAAGTCCACAGTTTTGATGAACCCCTAACAATTATTTGGAGAGAAAACGCGATTGTTTCAATTATCTTTATTGAGTTTACTTGGATTTTTCATTTTCCATAATGGTTTTTAGCAGCTCTACATGATTAGGAGGTGGAAGAGAGAACATTGTCTAACTTGGAGAGCTTCATAGAATTACTTAAATGTAAGAGAAATTCAGGTCAAATTACCTTTTCAACTTGATACACCTTTGACCATAAGAAATAGACTGACACATTCAAGGAAGAAAAAAAATAAAAATAAATAAACTAAAGAAAAAACCTCACTAGTAATTTATAGTGCAGTCATATATTTCTCAAAAAAGTTGATCTCATTATTCCATTATTCTAATCTATTATTATTTGCCCCGACATTTCAATTGTTAATCTTTGATCAATAATAAAGAGGAGGTGAGAAGAAAAGGAAGAGAGAAGTTAATCTTATTAAGATGCAGACAAATGCATAAAAATTACAGAGTATAATGAATCCCTAATAAACTGACTAACTAAAAGCAGAAGAAAAGACTAATCTACCCTTTATTCATAAGAACATAAAAATGTAGAAAAATAAATAAACAATTCCACTATAACTGTAACACATTAAATTGGTCAAGTCTCAATCAGTCAATCATATCAGATCACCAGGTAGCCACTTTTCAGAGTTTCCATGATTAAAAAATGATGTTTCCATTTAATTTCCCCATCTATTTTGCCAAAGATAGAGAATATAATAGGTCAAACTTTTCCATTTCTGGCAAAGCTGGCCAATTAAACAGCCTAGCAAACAGTGGGTCAACGAGCAATGTTTAACGGAAAAGGAATTAAGAAATTAATTCGATTGTGAGTTGGTAATGCTATGATAAATGAAGTTGAAAGTACTTAACAGCATGACCAGATTTTGTCCGCATAAATGATGACAAAAATTTTAACACAAAAGGCATCAAAACAAACTTAAATGGTTGTGCAATCAAATGTGACTGGAATACCATACCCTATATCCATTTCCTCGACCATCTTCAAACAGAGATGAGTAATATACCGGATCATATATAGAGCCTCCTAATACGTCATCACAATCAGAGGTAATCCTAACTGCAGAGGGAGCTACAGGATTTAGAAAACTATTTCTCAAATCAAAATCTGCTTCTCGAGGAGCTGAACTGTCTATATATGAAACACCCAGTCTGTACATCTGAACCCATAAGAATGAAGATGACAATCTCACAACGAACCCAATAATTTGCATTGCTAAAGCCAGTTTCACTGAAATCATAACAAAGGTTCCATATGTGTCGGGTGAAATGTTCCTGCATACACGAACAAAGTTTCAAAAAAATGAAAATTTACTACAACAATCATAATCACATGTTCGATAAAATTAGATAAAGACATTGCGAAAACAGAAACATTCAGTTGACCATATCATTACGTGGATACTATGAACATAATTAAAAAATATATATCCAGGTTCTGTTGGACAGAATGTCAACCGGAACAGTATATAGATTTATCATGTTTGGATGATCGTTTGCTTCAACCTAATATAAATGCCAATAGTTGCACGATGCTGAGAGGTACACTCGATAAAGATGCATTAGTTGCAGAAACTGAGGCCCTCAAATTCAAACCTGTATTCTCACGTCACATCTGACATTCAAACTTTTAATATTACAGCAAACCTGGGTAGGGTGTTTCAACCTAATGTACCTTCCTTTAAATTCTTCTACAATCAAGGTTTTCATTTAGATATGTGTGTGTGTATACATATGTATAGAGAGAGAGACCCTCTATATATATGTTATATATTTAAACTGTGATTTTAAATTAAAAAGTCATCTAGCCAGTAAATTTAATATATTAAATTCGTATGTTCTGTTAACGGACTTCCACCGCGGTCTTTGATAGGACAGGACATTATTAAAAACAGGGGGAAGGTTGTGTAATTTAGCTTAAATAGAGGGGAGGTCAATGTAATTTGCCCAAATACTTTTGCATCACCCATCTGTAATTCTCTTAGTTATTAACTTAATATTACATCATAAATAGCTTCGTCACTCAAGACATGTCAGCATCTCCTAAACACTTCAGCCTTAATAGGAATGTCATGTGCTCTTAAAGCTCTTCCTGTTTTCATCTTCCTCATTGCATGTTTACCTTGCACATGTTGGTTATACGAAGAAAAAAAATTGTTCTTTCTAATCTCCCCAGGGCTAATATATTATTACAAACCTAAGCTTCTTGAATAATTTTCAGGCAACTTCTCAAAGTAGTTTTTTCACCTTTTCTCTAATTTCATCATCTTTCACTAAAACTCTTAAATCCTTATTTTTGTTGCATGTTATATTACTAAAATCCCTTCTTTTCCTTTCCCTTAATTTTAAGTGTTACCTCTTTGTGTTTCCTCAAATCAACTTCAACTTAGGATTTGGTGGCAAATAGGTTTGAGAGGCGACCAACAAAACAGAAGAAATTGTACTCGTCTAAATGGAGAAAACTCACACTGTTGGGAGAACCAATGAAATGGAAATGCAGTAATTGTCTAAGAGGAAAACTAACTCCTATTATCAGTACCCTTTTGAGTCTGCCCACATATTTCATGTCCATCTAAACCACTCCTGCCTCTGTTCTGGTCCTAGTGAAGAAACTAGAGACTCTTTAGAGGGATTTGCAGTGGGCGTGTATGGGAAAGGAATTCAAATATGTACTTGCCGCTTTGAATACTAATAAGGCATGGGATAGGAACCGTAGGATTGAGGAGTCTGCAGCAACTCAATCAAGTTCATCAAACAAGTGGTTGTAAAGGTATACAGTGGAAGATGATTATTTGTGTAAGGTAGTGAAACCTAACTTTAGGAATGGGAATAAACAGTGGACTTTAAGGGAGGTTACAAAATCCTATGGGCTTGGACCTTGGTAGGGGATTAAACAAACTGAAGTAATTTTCAAGTATGTGGGCTTCACAGCGGGTAACGATAGCAGGATGAGGTTTTAACAGACAGTTTACATTATGATATTCTCTTGAAAGTTATCTTCCTGGATTTCCTTTGGATTGCTGCAGACAAGTCGCTTTTGTGGAGGACCATGTTACATTTTTGGTTGGAGGAGTCACTAGGGAACCTCAGCTCTTGTGGCCTCTTTGGGTTGGGAAATGGAGTCTGGAAGCCTTCATTTAGCTCCTTTATGATTCATTAATTTGTGGGTATGTTTATTTATCAAAATAAATAAATAGTTTGTGGGTATATTCGAGATGTTATGTGATGGCGCCAAATAAGGGAGTAGGTCTGATGTGAAATCTTTTTGGAAAGTGTAGGTGGCAGGAAGGGTTCCAGGTTCCTTGGAAGAATATTTGGAAAGTCAGTGCTTTCTAAAGTCTCTTTGTTTATTTGGACAGCAATTCTAGAGGCCATTCTAACTAATAATTTGGAGAGGCGAACAAGATGAGAGTAAACTGGTGTTGTATGTATAGGAGAGCCAAAACTTATCAAAAAAAAAAAAAAAAAAAAAAAAAAAAGAAAAAGAAAGGAGAGCCAAAAAAAAATTGGCGGCTAGGGATTTCTATTTGCATGTTGTTTTTCTTATTTAGAGTGTTTTGTTTGATGCCTCAATCAATAAAAGAAGCTTTTTGATTGTTAGGTGGGGGATTGTGATGCTACAGGAGTTCCCTAGCTTGGCAAGCGGTACACTTATCTCTTATAAAATATTTTTGAAGGGAGTGAAACAAGCAAAATTTTAAGATCATAGAGGTGCCAATTCATAAGCTTACGACTAGACATTAAAGACTTTCCATTTTCTTTCCTTGGCCGGAGCCCCTTCCTAGGGTGGCTTTCTTTGGGTGGACGGTCGCTTTGGGGAAGATTTTGACTATTGATAATCTGAGGCAGAGGCAGCAAATCATGGGCAATTAGTGTAGCATGTGTAAGAGAGATGAGGAGTCCATGGATCATCTTCTCTTGCATTGTTTTGTAGCCAGAGACGTATGGAGCTTGATTTTTTTCTATTTGTGGTGTTCAGTGGATTATGTTGAAGTCCACTAAGAATGCTCTTGAAGCATGGAGGGCACTCTCAGTGGGAGCTCATGCTCAGGACGCTTGGAGGGTACTTCTGCAAGGATTGGGCTTCCATAGTTGTGACCTTGTTCTGATCTGATAATATTGTTTGTAAGATCAGAACATTATAATATGATTTATATCTTTCATTCCATATGACTTATCAAAAGAAAAAAGAAAAATCTTTCATTCCACGTGACACATACAAAGGCTTATATAGCATACATCTTGAATATTTTTTTCCCATAAACAAGCAAAATCTCCCTACACACACAACGAAAACAAGCCCAATGTAAAATTTGCTTATGACATAACTAAAATAAGTTCCATCTTCGACAATAAACTAAAATGACAAACAGCATTTTGAAGATGTCACTATGCAGTCAATAACATGTGATAGATCATCCTTATCAAAATAAGTAAAAAAAAAAAACATGTGATAGACCCTTTCATGAGTCACTCTGGACAAAATCACTTTTTTTCATCTTCATCTAACACCATGTCACTACTGTATACTTCTGCAATAATGAAATTTTAGGCAAGCTTTTAGTGGTTCTTTACGCAAACTGTTTTGAAGGATATGGACAGGGTTTTATTGTCCCAATACTAAGTCATCTATGGTTATATAGTAGCTCTTTGGCTGTTTATTTCTTTCATTAACAAAATAATATAGTAACACCAGATTTCGCGAGCAAATAAGCAAAACGCACCAGATTTCATGAGTGAAGAGAATGAACCAGAAGATGTCTAGAAATATGGCACAGAAAAGAAGAACAGCATATGTCCGGCCAAGGCTCTGACTGCTACTCTCAATTGCTACGAGAGCAAACAATGCAATCCCCAAATTAATCAGCAACACGCCATTGAACAGTGCTCCCAGCGATCCAATCAATGTACAACCAATCTTAAACAACCAATATGCATATTAACCACATATTGCATACAAGAAAATAATAATAATAATAACCCAAAAAAACAACTAGCGTTTGGAAGCATGGAATTGGAGAAAAATCAGTTCAATTATTGGCATGACAGCTTGGAAATGGAATTTGAGAAAATTTAGTTCAAATTCGATTCCATGCTCCCAAACATAGCTTCATAACAATTGGAAAACCTTCTGATGGGCTGATTCTAATATCATCAACATGAAAATTAATAGAAAAATATTGGAAACCCTGATCTCGAAATCAAATTCTCATAATTCTTCAAACCCACGTACAATGAAACCCTAGGTTTTGGAATAAAGTACTGTGATTGAGAAAAGAAAGTGTGTATCGATCCAGTCCACATTTTCTAATCTAGTATACACAAATACAATGCGTGTGTAACTAGAAAACGAGAAGTGACGCAATACGCACCTGAATGTAAATGAGAATCACAGCGAAAGATTGAATCCTATCATAATCACGAATCCACGACTGTATGTGACTCCTCAATGCAGAACAAAGCATCATATACCAGAAATTTTCCAATTGCCCCAAATTCGAACAAATCCCAACCCACGAATTAATAATTAAACAGGAAATACATATACAAATATATATTTATATATATGTATATGTATATGTGTATGTATATGTAGAGAGATAAAGATAGAGAGAGAGGGGAAGGAAAGAGGAGGTCTACATTTCGAGTGGAATTTGTAGCTAATTCAAAAACGGTGGTTTCATCATAACGTCGCAATTCAAATTCTCTGGTGCTTCAGTGTGAAATTGTGAATTGGAGATTTGGGCAAGTGAAGGAGCAAGAAGAGACGTTTCCCTCTGTTTCCTTTCTTTTCTTATTGTTGGAGTGAAGGAAATGGAAAGAATATAAAAAGGGGAAGGAGAGGAAAGGAAGGCTGATTTGTGTTTTTTGTTTTAAAATTTTGAGAAGAAAGGAACGCCTTTTGTGGAACCAAATTCCTTGAGTTTAGTTTGGTTGTATGGAAGAAAAATATATATATAAAAATTTGGAAGATAAAAAAATAAAATTTTTGTGAGAAAAAAAATTTTCATAGCCATCCTAATTTCACACAAAATTTTCTTACAAAAAAAAAGAAAAAAGAAGAAGAAGTTACTTTCTTGAAAAAAAAAACTACATTAAATTTCAATTATAAAATTTTATTATTCAAATTCTTATATTATTTTTATTTTTAAAAAAATCAAAAAATATTTAATATAAATTTATTTAGATCTATTGTCATATTTAATAAAAATATGAACAATTTAGGTAAATGATGTAATTTTCTATTAACTTGCTATTCAAACTATGAAATGAATTTTTTTCACAAATTCTAAATAATATTTCATGTTTGCCAAATAAATCAAAGAATATTTATTTTATTTTCTTTCATTTCACTTCCTTTGACTTTCAATTTTTCAGCATTGATTTTCATCAAACCAAATAAACCATTGAGATTTGAAATTGAAATTAGAAAAGGAATTGGATTATAATTAGGTAGAATTCTAATTTGATGTTTGATATAAACTGAAATTTATAAAAAAGAATTTGAAATAAAATAGATTTCATATGTGACAGTTGTGAATGATGTTTCTGGAATGAGAGAGATAAACTTGTACTAAGGTTACAAATCCCTTCAAATCCTATAATTTTTTTCACTAATATTTTTACCTTACAAATTTTTTTATAAAATCCCATTAAAAATTCAGTTCCCCTTCAAAATCTTATCATTTTAAACAAGGGAACTTCCTTTTAAAATTCAATTCCTATAAAATCCCAAGCTCCAAACACTATGGAAAGAATTTAGGGGTTTTTATATCAAGGAGTGACATGTTTAAAGAAAAATAACTAATAGAAACTTTTTTTTATGAAAAATACTTGAGTCCTGCCTATCAAGACAGATTGTATCCTGCACACTAATATGTCCCAATAAGAGGTTGACGCCTCTTTCAAACTAAAAAAATACAAAACATGGGTTACACCCATTTTGTAGAGTTAAACCCGACATATCTATTTTTTTTCCTCTTTTTGCTTCCATCTGTGTATCTTTATCTGCATATTTCTTTTTTCTTAACCGCCAATCATTCCAAATCTAATATTCCCATTGTGTCCTCCACCACTATGTTGGATTTTTATTTCGATTTGGTCTTAACAAGGATTGATTCATTTTTTTAAAATAGGTATGCTAAAACATTATATTTGTCCGCGTGTAATTTTTCTTTCTTTCAAAATAGCTTAAATTGAGTAAAAAAATTTTGCTCAAATTTTGAGTTTTTTTTGCTTTCAAAAACAAGGACAATGATTTCTGTTCTGTTCTTTTTGCTCTCATTATTATTTACAGAAAAAGATACGTAAAAAATAAAAATAAGATAGAAATCATATAATTAAGTGAAAAAATGATTAACTTTTTTATTGGGACACGTTAATGTGGAGGATACAATCTGTCTTGATGAACAGGACTAACGCATTGTCCTTTTTTATTATATATTTTTGTTTTAATTCACTATCAAATACATGCCACTAAGATACCATAAATTCTTCCAAAAGTGACAACCGCCATTACATACCAGAAAATTCCCCCAAAAGTGAGAGATTCTCTCAAAAGTGGTTCAAATAAAATTAGGGAATTAATTCACACCAACTTATCACTTAGCCGACTTCAGACTCAAAATTCAAAAAGAAGTTTGATAATCGTGGACATTCGGTTCGGGTTGGTCATTATTGTATGTGTTTTTTTGTACGTATTTTGTGTGTAGGTGTGAGTAATCTGTGTCGTTTAAGCACCTATGTGTGTGTGTATGTGTGGATGTACGTGTAACCACCTATGTGTATTGTGTATGCATAATGCATATGTATGAATATATTGTATTATATAGGATAAAAATCCTCTCCAACGCCATTGGATTCCCCCATTCCTCTCTCCAAACCTTTGGTACTCATTTTAATTTAATTTGAATCTATGCTTCACAGGGTACTATCTAATTTGTGGCAGCCTTTTTGTAGTTAAATGATAAAATTAAAGAGCCCTGCACACGTGTGTGTGTGTGTGTGTGTGTGTGTGATATGTGTGTATCATCGCATAAATTAGTGGAGCGAAAGAATCTCCACAGACCGTGTGAATAGAGGATAATTTACCTTGGATTGCCAACGATCCAAAATAATTGGTTAGATGGGAATAATAATAAAGGAAAAAAAAACTGGAAATTTTCAATTTTTTAAGAGTTTGGTGGTAAGAAAATATTTTTTTTGTGAGAAAATAATTTCGCAAAACAAACTTTCACACAAAATTTTCCTACAAAAAAAATTTACTTTCTTGGAAAAAAATTATATGAAATTTCAATTACACCCCTTTTTTACTTTTTATAATAAAATTTATTTATACATAGTTTTTGGTAAAAATATTATAATAGTAGCTAACAAAATAAAAAATTATGGTAAAATATTTCATGTTTGCCAAATAAATCATAAAAATAATTTTTTTTATTTTCCTTCATTTTACTTTCTTTTACTTTTACTTTTACTTTTTAATATTGATTTTCATCTAACCAAACAAACCTAGAATTTGAAATCCAAATTATAAAAGATTGTAATTAAATAGTATTATCATTTGATGTTTGGAAGAAACTGAAATTTATAGAGAGGAATTTGAAATAAAATAGATTTTTTACCGTTTGGGATAAAGAGATATGATCATATGACAAATGAGAACAAGGTCAGCGAAATGAGAGACGTGAAATCCCTTCAATAAGAAGGATAACTTTGTAATAACGTTACAAATCCCTTCAAATTATATTATTTTAAATAAAATAGATTTTGTACCATTTGAAATAAAGAGATGTGAAGATGTGAAGAAGGTCACTGAAATGAGAATCGAGAGAATTGAGAGACAGTGAAATCCCTTTAATAAAAGGATAACTTTGAAATAACGTTACAAATCCCTTCAAATCCTATTATAGAAATTATTTACCTCACAAAATTATCTTTAAAATTCCATAAAAAAATTCAATTCCCTTTCAAAATTCCATCATTCCAAACAAGTGAAATACCTTTTAAAAACCAATTCCAAACACAATGGAAAAGATTTAGAAGGTTTTTGTATCAAACTGTGATATGTTTCTTCTTCTTTTTTTTGGTTAATATTATTAAGTATATTAAAATGGACAATACTTCATATAACTCATGACCGCATCCAAAAATTCTCTCTCAAAAGTGGTTCAAAGGGAGAAAAATATATTTGTGCTCGTTGCGGGTATATCCAATCGTTCATTATTCACCTATGTAATATACATGCAAGCGAGTTATTATACGAAAATACACTCGTCATATGTTATAATGGGCGCTGAAAAATAAATTTGAATGAGATTTGAGTGGATTAGACAGGATTAGGGGGTTAATTAACTGCAACTTATCCCATAGCCAACTTCAGGCTCAAAATTCAATGGACATTTGGTCATTCTTGTATGTGTTTATTTGTACGTATTTTGAGTGTAGGTGTGAGTAACCTGTGTCGTTTAAGAGTAAGCAGCACCTATCTGTGTGGTGCATATGTGCTGTGTGTTCTATATAGCCAATTAGGCATGTGTGTATATATATATATATGTACGCGTATATATGCGTGAATCTGTAAGTCAATGCGATTGGAGTCATCTGGAATCTCATTCCTCCCTCCAATCCTTGGTTATGCACTTATTTTAATTTAATTCGAGTCTATATTTCACAAGATACTATATCTAATTTGTGCCAGCCTTTGTAGTTAAATGACAAAATTAAAGAGCCAACACACACATGTATATGAGTGTATCATCCACATAAATTAGTGCAGTGAATGAATCTCCACATACCATGTAAATAGAGAATAAATCTGCCTTGAATTGCTAACGATCAAAAAAATTTATCGATATTATAAACTCTTTTGAGTTTGGAGATGTCACACGGTTCTTTGAAAAATTTATTGATATTATAAACTCTTTTGAGTTTGGAGATGTCACACGGTTCTCTGAAAAAATTATTGATATTATAAACTCTTTTGAGATGTCACACAATTCCGTATTTCATGTCTCTATCAAATTCTTCGTTCTAGCCCTATTTTAATTAAATTTAAAATAGTTAATTTGTGCTAATCTTCATGGTTGAATAACAAATTTAAAGAGCTATACACGTGCATGCATCAACATGTGGATCCGAATCTGCTTCAATACACCTCTCATTGGAGCATGTCCATTGAGAATCCAAAAGCTGAGATCAAGCCACATCAGCGCCTGACACATGACAACTTAGCATCCAATGAACAACACACAGTCAATAAAGTTACTGATATACTCTTTTTTTACCACATGTACTAATACAGTAGCCAAATAAAAAATACGATCTCCAACATACACTTATACATTATATATATATACAAATATTATATAGATCTTATATACAAAAATATATTATATACAAAAATATTTTATTCCATTCTTTTTGAGTAAAATTACAAATCTCATTACAACATACACTTATACAAATATATATATACAAATCTAAAATACAAAAATATATCACAATTTAGTATCCAAATATACGTATAACAATATTATATATATATAAATATTTTATTCTATTTAATTACAAATCTCCATACAATATACAATTATACATTATATATATACAAAAATATATATACAAATTACAGTTCAGTATCCAAATATATGCATAACAATAAATTATATACAAAAATATTTTATTCCATTCCTTTTCAGTAAAATTACAAATCTTAAACATTGATTATGTATTGGTACAATTTAGTATCCAAATATAAATTTATTTGAGATTGTAGGGTTTTGAAATAATTGACTAATTATATAGATTTAGAGTTGTGGAAATTAATTTTTTTAACGTGTTAGGAAAATATGTTGATGCTATATGCAATTCATACGTGATACATGTTTTAAAA